AGTTCAGAGTGGGGAAGGAACCCTGACAGTCACTCTGGCCATACAGTTAATGCATGAAATGGAAACCTGACTCTCCAAATCCCCTTTCAGCTTCCTGACAGTGATTCTATTTCTCCTTCCTACTTCTATGGGACAGTTTATTTTTTCTCTGACAGATTTAAGACCATGATTCTTTGTCTTTACGTCCTATTATTAGGGTTGGGGTCAAGGCACAGTATTGCTCTTCTTCCTTCAATTTGTTTTTAAACTTCTGGAGAGATGGGGGTGGTGGTGGAAAGTGCCATTTTCCTACAGTGAGGATGACAATGTAAGTACCTGGAAAGAAAGATACAATAACCAAGTCAGTAGCAATCACCTTGCTTAGAAATGTATACACTCCAATTTAAAGTCAAGGGGCCAAGCACTCTAGCTCAGTACTTTGCATGCTCAAGCCTGATATGTTTTACTAACATATTAAGTACTGACAATTTGCTCAGCAGTGACCAAGACACACATGTAAAGACAGTCCCTGCCTCGCAGAGTTTATCAGCATCACCATATTTGTGGTGGGAAGGAGTTTTTCCCCAGGTCAGTTTTCACCTTCCTCTGCAGCATGGGGCACAGATCACTGGCACATTTAAATTAGAGCAGGGGTCGGCAACCTACGGCACGCGGCCCATCCGCTGGCAGGCCATGAGACATTTTGTTTAACGTTGACCATCCGCAGGCACGGCCCCCCGCAGCTCCCAGTGGCTGCGGTTCGCCATTCCCGGCCAATGGGGATGGGTAGCATCAGAATCAAGCCCTTAGATATTACTTAAGAGCTTGTAAAACCTTGAACGAAATGAGTTGAATTGAGACAATATGCTCAAAATCTAAATCTTTTAGAAGGGCATCATGTGCCATCCAGTGAATTGTCTTTAGTCTGGTAGGAGTTGTCAAAATTATTGTCAGACGTTCAGATTGACAGCCTCAGGGGATCCACAGGTTTTCACAGATTTCATTCTGATCTGTTAAACATGCTCCTTATAGAACCAGCTAGGAGCTATTGGAGCTCTTAGTGCTGCTGTGTGTCTTCTTTGTAGTTGCCGCGCGGTTTGTCTCTAAGTCTGTAATAAACTCAGCTAGCCTGTTGAAACATGCACTGTCATATTCTGATCTCAGCCTTACGGATGTTCTCACAGATGCTCTTTTCTCTCTCCACATTCAGCACAATCTGCCTAGCCCAAATATTTCACAGTGCATTCAGCATGCTTCCTGCCTTGTGGCCATGAGAAAAGTAAAAGAGAATTCTCCATTAAAAAGAATATATTTCGACCAGCACAACACTCATTTGAAAAATAAACTTAGCTATTTCCTGTTGGTGGCGCCATTAGTATTACCAAACCCCTGGGATGAGGAGGTTTCATGCTGCTCTCCCCAAAGTAAACAATCCGAGAAATAAGAAGCAACATACAGAGAACTACATGGACTTTTTCAAACATGCAAGGAAAAAAAATGTAGAACAATTTTGAAACCACCCTGTAGAATTCTATAGCTGCAGTATAAGCCTTTCTTAAACTGGATAGGTGAATTTTAAAATTCTAAAGGTCAGGTCTCTTCTAAGTCCTGTGGTGAGTGAGGCTCAAAAAACCCTGAGGCGTGAGCCTAGATTTTTTGAGTAATTTGTATATAGAACACTACTGAGTTCTTTATATTAAATTCAAGATGTGTAACTACAACTTGGGATGAATTAAAAATGGATTTGGAACTGTGGTCATATTGCCTACATCCATGTTGATTCACATCCTCTTATATAGTGTACATGTACCTGTGGCATAGAAATAGTGTACTTCAGTTTGCATGATGGGGAATACCAAGTTCAAATGATTGTTATGAGGCTAATTGATTTCTTCAACATGCACATGGCCTGCATGCAGTCAACAAAATACAAATAAAAATAGGAGTTTAGAAGGACCAAGGTCTACCAGCCTCCAGCCCCTGCAATTACAGGGAAATGATTACATGATATATGTCCAGCTGATCCCTTTGGATGATCTCTGCTCAAAGTTCCAGGACAAGGTGATAATCTCCAGAGGCTCTTGCCAATATCTCCTGGAGCAAAATTCCTCCTCAACCCCGCATTTGATGATCAGTTTAATCCTATGTGTGAGTCTCATCTACAGTCCACTGAAATTAAAAAAAAAACCTCCCACTGACTTCAGGGATCTTTGGATGAGGCCTTGTATGGGAGAGATTTTCCACAAATAGAGTAAATCATCTAATATTATTTGTAATCTAAAATACAGCTTGCATCCAAGTATATGTTAAAATAAGCATTAAGGGCATGAATTAATTATGTTGCTTTTTAGTTAAAAAACAATCCACACACAAATATTTGTTCTCTCCCTCTAAATATTTATAAATCACTTGATGCCCCCATAGCCTGCTTTCCAGTCATTAGGGGCCCCATATGCGGAATTAGTTTCATGCCTCTAAACCTGAGGAGCACCAGCGACAGCAGCAGCAGAAGGGGCAGCGTGCTGTGCTTCATTCCTCTCATTTTGATGCTTTTACAGCAAGCACACATAAGAGCATCTTCTCCAAGACCGCATGAAATCACATAGCATCTGAATTGTCCTTCTAGCTCTTAAACCGTGTAGGAAATAAAGAGATGCCCAGCCAATCTACTTGCTGCTCCCTGGTCTCCTGGAGAGAGTAGAAGAGGAAGGAAACCCTATTGCTCCTTTGCAGCTATAGAAGGCAGAATTAAGCAGAATGGAACCACTGAAAAGGTGGATTCCAGTTATACTGGAAGACCACTTACCATGAAGTGATTTTGAGTAGAAACTGACTTTGTTATAAAGATAGCCTCCAGTTATACAAAACTCCACTTATGGTTAAGTGATCCAAATACAAGCTCATACATCTAGGAACAATGAATGTAGGTCATACAAGATGGGAGACTATCTCAGACTGTCAAGTATCGGGGGTAGCCGTGTTAGTCTGTATCCACAAAAACAACAAGGAGTCTGGTGGCACTTTAAAGAGTAACAGATTTATTTGAGCATAAGCTTTCGTGGGTAAAGACCCCACATGAATAAGGGATAATGGTAAATAACCAATTGACCATGAGGTCCTAAGGTGATGCTGTAGTTCAGAGGGCGAACATGATCATTGGCTGTATAAGCAGGTGGAATATCAAGTAGGAGTAGGTATATTACCTCTGGATATGACATCAGAGAGACCACCACTGGAATGCTGTGTCCATTTCTGGTGTTCACACTTCAAAAAGGATGTTAAAAAATTGTAAAAGGCTCAGAAAAGAACGACAATAATGAATCCAGGTCTGGAAAACATGCAAGAAATGTAATCTATTTAGTTAAGCCAAGGGAAATGAAAGAGGTGACTTAACCATTGTACCCAATTAGTTCATTTTATCATTGAAATGTGTTATTGTCATAGTGAACTCATGTTACATCATATATAATCAATGTGTGATGAACAGATATAAGCAAGATAGGATTATAGAAGTATAAGATTGACAGGTATTTAGGAGGATGACTGTGTATTAGGTATAAGTAAAACTAAGCTGTAATGCAAGGCCTCCATGTGTTTGTAGTTACTGCCTTCATTTTTTGTGTGTTCCTAGAGCCTCCAAATCTCCACCCTATTTATCTTTAAACTGAAGCAACAGGAAGTGGACTCACTATAATTGACCACAAAACGGTCAGTTCATTCAATTTAAAATAAAGGCTACATCATGGTCTACAAGTACTTACATGGGGAAAGAGATTTCTGATAGTAGATTGCTCTTTAATCCAACAGAAAAATATATAATGTGGTCCTGTGGTTGGAAGTTGAAGCTAGACAAATTCAGAAATAAGATGCACATTTTTAACAGTGAGGGTAATTATCCATTTGAACAACGTACCTAGGCATGTGGTGGATTTGCCATCATTTGAAGTCTTTAAATCAAGATTGGGTGTTGCTCTAAAAGATATGCTTTAGCTACATTAGAAATTATGGTTTTCATGCAGAAATTACTGGTAAGGTTTTTACGGTTTGTTTTATGGAGGAGGTCAGACTAGATGATCCTAATGGTCCCTTCTGACCTTAAAAAGCTATGAATCTTGTGTGGAAACCGACTGTTACATGTGGGTTGCACTGAATACGGTAAATTGTCGTTAGCTTTACTGTGTTATGTATAGTTACAGCTGCATATTAATCAGAGTTTCCCTGATTAAATTGCATCACCTTCAGATTCTCATAGAACCATGGTTTTCAACCTCTGGTTTGCGGACCCCGGGGAGGCCATAGATTATATCTAAGATTTCCAAAGGGGTCAATACCTCCATTCAAAATATTATAGGGGTCCACAAATGAAAAAAAGGTTGAAAACCACTGTAATATGTAAGGGGACTGTTGCCTCTTACTAACATTCAGTGGGGGTGTTTTAGTTGCTAGTTCCCAGTACTAAAAAGGGGGAAGGGTCAATGGGGAATCAGGACCCTGAGACTGACAGCCCCCAGGAACAATGGGGAGAGGCCAATGCTCCAGGTCAGCCTGAATGGCAGGGTGGGGAGGCTAATCAGAGAGTCAGGAGGCCAGGGAGGTCCCGTCCTCCGTATGAGCTGGATTTGCCTGCGTCAGACAGAGTGGGGCCAAGCTAAGGAGAAAGCAGGGGCCCAAGCTGAGCTGGGGAGCAGAGCTGTGCCAGATCCAGAGGGACCAGAAAAGCAGCCCAGAGAGAGCAGACCCTGTCCTGGGAGCAGAACTGCAGCAACCAGACCCAGAGGGGCCAGAAGAGCAGCCCAGGAAGCAGGTCAGTGCTGGGAGCAGTGTCACAGAAGCAGCCTGCAGAGCAGACCTGTCTTGGGAGCAGAGCTATAGCAACCAGAGGCAGAGGGGCCAGAGAAGCAGCCCAGGGAGCTGGAGGCAGAGCAGCAGCAGCAGTGCAGAGACCGGGTGGTGCAGCTGGGGCTGGAGCAGTCTGGAGCTGGGTGCGGTGAGCAGCTGGGGAGACCAAGGGGGACCCTGGGCAGCAGGCCCACCACAGGGAGATGCCTCAGCCAGGGCTCTGCGGGCCAGGCTTGGATCATAACCCTGACAGGGTGGGGGCGACACTGGGAAGAAGGGTCCAACCTGAGAGCGTGTGACCACCACCAGAGCAAGTGTCCAACCCACAGCATCCCTGCAGCACAGCCAGGGCCTGAGGGGAAGGCCTGGGACTTACAAGGAACAGACTGTGAACTGCCCTGACATTCCAGAGACACTGTGATGTTCCCTGCCACAGAGCGGGTTGATGTGTTTCCTTTAACCTTTCCCGTTTTTTCTTATTCTTTTTAAAATTAATTGTTGATTAAATAACTTGCATTTGCTTTAACCTGTATGTAATGGTCAGTGGGTCAGAGAAGTGCCCAGTGCAGAGAGAGTACCCCAGAGTGGGGACACCCTAGCCCCTGTCCTAGGTGACCACAGCAGGGTTGGGGGTCGAGCCCCTCAGGAATCCTGGGCCCAGCCTTGCTGGGGTTATGAGGACTCTGCCAGACAGGAGAGTGGAAGGGGAGTCCTCAAGGGCAGGGAGGCCACTGGGTAAAGGAAGTGGGAGCGAGGACTCAGATCCTTTTGCTAGCCCACTTCACCGGGGTAGTGTAGAACCCAGGAAAGTTCCCAACAATAGCAGGACTATTCCCCCGCTTACAAATAGAACAAATATGCAACTAAAGTTACAAAATGAACTCACCCCAGCTCTTACCCCACTGTGCTTTTCACTTGTCATATGTGATTTAATTCTTGTATAGCTTACCCACAATGACCCATACCCTTTCCCTGTAACCTTGCTTTATGCCTCTGTTTGTGGTTTTATTTATTTTTTGTACGTTAGTTTGAACTGTAAAATGACCGTTCTTTGTCAAAGGTTAATCTTGTTTTTGCTGAAACCAAGGACAACCCTGCCTGTGGGGGAGTTCTTTTAAGCGTTGACATCAGAATGTAAAAGAATGTTGTGATAAGGGCAGGGCTGGCTCTAGGTTTTTTGCCGCCCCACGCGGAGTGCCGCCAAAACAAACAAACAAAAAAGGCCCGGAGTGCTGCCCCTTGAAAAGAGCCGCCCCAAGTACTTGCTTGGTTTGCTGGTGCCTGGAGCCGGTCCTGGATAAGGGAGATTCACATTGAAAAACGCAGCACTACAAAAGGCATATTCCAGGTACTGTATGCAAGGGCAGCATTTGAGGTATGATTCCAGTGTTGCCAACTCTCACAATTTTATCATGCACCTTGTGATGTTTGGGTTTTTTCTTGAAGCAGCAGCTCCTGGATTGTTGGGATTACAATCTTCTATTTGAGAAGAAAAGAAATGATTTTATATAATGATTTTAAGTCTCTCTCATGATTTTGTGGGGCCTGATACATGATTTTTGAATACTTGGGATTGGAAATACTATGATTCATCCCACACACCTAGTGCATCCCCAGTATGCCATGTTAGGCAGAGTGGACATCTGATGGAAGCAAGTGAATATCACATGGAAGTTCTTTCTATTTCTGAAAGTCTTGCCATGGTCTTTTCCTATCGTTTGAACTTCTAAGAATACCTCTTCCCTCAATGAACGAAGTAGAGAAGCATGAACTTTGGGAATAGGACTCCAAATTTCTGTTTCTCATTCAGAAACAGATAGTCAAGCTTAACCAGTTCAGGCAATATTTATTAAGGAGCCCCCAAAAATATTTCTTGTGTCCAGTTTATGCAGGGAGTGGAGGTCAGGCTTCTTGAGCAGCAGGGGGAGCCATTTCTACAAGTGCCAAGAGAAAGCTGTGGGCTGGTTCTGAACAGCAAGGCCCAGGGCCTAGCATAGCTGCGAGGAAGGAGATTAGCCCACAGGCTGCGAGAGCCATCAGCCCTGAGGCAGAGAAATCAGGGAGGTAGTCCAGTTAAAGGTGAGTGATGCAGTTTTCTAGTATCTGTGTTCAACTACATCATTCATATTCATGAACGGATTGAATTGTTAATCTCAAGGTTTGCAAGACTGTTAGACTGAGTTGGGCAGAGGGTGACTTATTTAGGGAAACTTTTAAGGCTACCAAGAAGTTGGAATAACCTAGGGTAATGTTCAGCAGACCAGAGGTACAGATACATTTGCCATTTCAAACTGCAGAGGCTCAGACTTTAGCGCTGGATGACCAGCTTCAGTCACCAGAGATAACTAAGATGATGGTCATCACGCTTAAACAATAGCCATTTTTATACAGTGGATACTCTCAACATTTTCTTCGAACAGGCAGCTCAGTATTGCCGCCCCCAAGCATGCAAAAATCATGAGTCAGACCCCTAAGACAGACTTAAAAATGAAGAGAGTTTCAAAAGTAATAGATTTGGGTTTCTTTTATTTTCCTGCTGGGTTTTGAGCCTTGAGGGTGCCCATTTTCCAGCTTTTCTGTCTAACCATTACGGCTAGAAACTTTGTTTTAATATGAAAGCTGAGAGTCTCATGGAATCATAAAAATGTAGGGCTGGAAGGTTCACATGAACTGGGCTTTCAGAAGAACACCAGCTATTGTGAGATTTGCAATAAAATAATGAGTCAGCAACACTACAAATACTAGCCGTGATAGAGATATTCCTTAAACATATAATGGGGAACTGGAACTGATAGAACCCATAGAAACTGTCAAATGGAAGACACTTTTAAAGGATACCGACGATAAAGACCAAATCTGCTATATTTGTAGTGGTGTCATGAACCGGTTTTGCATTGTGGAATAATTTGCTGTACGAAAAATAAACAGAATTAAATTTCAGTTTATATAGCATAAGCAAATTGCACACACTGTTGTATCTGTAAACTGGCCAAGGAAGTTACAAAGCTAGCAAATTTGCCTTACTTTTGCTGTTAGCATGGTGGATAATCATCTGTTATTATGAATAATACTTGGTAAGATATTCCTGTCTTTTCTTTTTCCCCATCAATTATTCACTGAAGAGGCTGGCAGAACATGTTAATTAGATGCAGTTGCCCAAACGTAGAGAGACACCCAGCAATAGTTTAATTTTGCCAACAACTCCTAGAGGGCCTTTGGCACGCACCTCGGGTTAAAATGTTAGCAAGCCTCTAAAATGCATCCACTAAATTTGCAATTGTATCAATTCTTTGTGTCACAGGCACCAACTTTCCAAAGTTCCCAGGGGGTGCTCTACCTCCAGCTCTGTCCCAGGCCCTGCCCCTCTCCACCCGTTCCCCCAAGGCCCCAACCCCGCCCCACCTCTTCCTGTCCCCGCTCTACCTCTTCCCTCCCAGTTCTTCCCCCCCACCTCCTGCATGCCACAAAACAGCTGTTCGCAGTGGGCGAGAGGCTCAGGGAGGGAGGGGAAGGTGCTGATCCATGGGGGCTGCTTATGGGTGTTCAGCACCTACACTCCTAGAGTCAGCGTGCGTGAGAGAGACAGAGAGCGCACACGCGATTCTGTTCTTTGTGCAAAAATGTCATGGCGGCAGTTACTGGTTTTGCCTGCACAAATGTGAATTTTCACATGCACTGCGATGAACACACAAATGTTGCAGTTACATTTGTACAGGCATACTGGAAATACATTCGGCTAAAGTCTTGGTGGTACAATTTGGGTTGCTAAAGTAATTTAGAGACTCAATTTAGCATGCGACCAGTTAGCTTTTACGTAACCAATTACAGGTTCCTTTCAGTTTTTTTTGCCACTTCTGTTAGTTGTGCTGCCTGCTACAGACACAGTCTCATTGTACTACTCGCAGCCATGAATCAGAAGTAATCTAAAGTAATGAATGATATTTTACTGTGACAATAATCCCAAATACATCACTGATTAGTTTCTTGGATCCCCATAGAAAACAGGTAATTTTTTTCAAAGTAAACTTGAAATCTACCTAGATTTCAATTGGTTATACACTTCTTTCTTACTTCCTATTCTGAACTGTTGTGTTGTGCAGAGGTGGCTGCATTCCTATGGTGGGAAAGGTGATTCCTGTTTGCAAAGTGCTTTAGGATTGTTTGGAACAAAAAAGCACAACATGCATGTAAGATTATAATATTAACAACAACATTGGTTAGATTCTTCACACTGGGAAGACTGGAAACCATATTAAAAAGGACACAATTTTCAGGGCAGTTTATAATTTCATTATAAAGTTAAATAAAATTATGGAAAAGGCTACTGTACGAGCACTTTGGAAACACAAACCAGAGTGGACATTTTCATTCATCTGCTGAGTGCTCCCAACTCTCATTAATATCAGTGTGAATTAAGAAAACTCAGTATTTACCGAGTGGGATTCCTCACCTTGCAAAATCAGGCCCATGAGTGTAGTTGTATTTATACGTAAACATATATTTAATTGATAAACTTTATACATTGATGACACTTTGCCATGTTGTATTTTCACATGATGGCCCAAACAGTTATGGACCTGACTGTCAGTGTTTGTGTAACCAGATTTTATATATGCCTCTATGTGTGCACACAGTAAGCATCTGTTTGTATGTGTGCAAATTCTTCCCGAGAGCCATAGCACGTATGAAATCACATATGCACTTCACTACACTTGCAAGCATACACCTATGCATGCATCAGGCAATGATATATTTGTGATTGTAGCAACATGCATGGAATTTCGAGGGCAAAGCACAGATTGTAGGAGGGAAGAATTTGGAGGAGGCACCAGTAAGCCAATCTGTGTGCATGTGGCTGGAATTCTAGCTGCAGTTACAGCACCTCTGTAAATAGTTCTCTTAATAAAGAATAAGTTTAGTTTAAGAAACATTGAGTCCTCTTATATTATTACCCAGCATACAGTACATGAAACATGGGCACATTCATTTTCCACACACAATTTACTAGGTTTTTTTCTATAACCTTACACATAGTGCTTGTATGACCAAGAAAAGATCAAAGAACCAGCACAAGAAAAAATGTAGGCTGGTTGAGCTTCATAATTAGAAGAAAGTAAGTTCCTATGGAAAACTGAATAGTTCCTTTGTCATGATGGCGATAATTTGAAATTATTTTTGAGCCCCATTTTGAAAAACAACATGATGGACGCCACCCTAGATATCATCAGAACTCCATTGGTTTAGTTCTCGCAGTAGAAGTGTTTGAACCTAGGATTAAACATTGCATAGTACCAGCCAACTATCAAAGACGAGACTAAGGGTGGGATTTTCAGAAGCACCCAAAGACACCCACTTGTGGCTTTTTTTCCCTCAACGGCGGGATAAAATTCCAGCGCTGATGACCCACCATGGATAATGCCATAACTCCAGGCTCCCAGATGTGAATTATTTAATAGGAGCATCCCATCTGATATCAGCTGCCATGATGGTGCACAAAGACAGCAGCTGTCTCAATGATACATAAGAAAGAGGTGGGTTTGTAACATGCCCAGCTATTTGTATATTGGAAGATACCTTAATTGTCAGGAGGTAAGAACTGTGGCTTTCTTTTCAGAGCTATAACACAACAAACGATAGAGCAGAAATCTGTGTATGAGAGTTGCCTTGTTGGAGCTCACAACATGCATCCTCTGTCCTTAGAGAGACAAGATGGGTGAGGCAGTATCTTTTATTGGACCAACAACATTTGCTGGTGAAAGAGACAAGCTTTCATGTTTACACAGAGCTCTTCTTCAGGTCTGGGAAAGGTACTCTTTCTACTATCCTGGGGCCTTCACGACTCCATCAACACTGCAAACAATCCTTTATCCTTGACATAGTCATTCTTGATCTAAAGTATAGACTAAGGCTACACATTTGTTATGATCATGACTTCTGTGCCAGAAAAAAAAATTGTTTTCATAATAAATTATCTTTTGCTGCCCCGGTCAGCCTGCAACTGAGCAAGATCTCTCCATGAATGTGTACAATGTCCTGTGCAGAATGGGAAAGTCACCTAGGATTTATTTTTTTCCCCAAGATAAAGGATATTTTGCACACAATAATGTGATCCTGTGACTTTCTGTATTTCTTTCTATACATTTGTGACTCCCAATTTTTTCATAATTTCAGATGCCCTAATAATGATTAGCAACACGCACCCCCGTCACCTTTTTGACAGATTTCAGGCTCCACTAAATGGATTTTGAAAACATTGTATTTACTATTAATCCCAGCCCTAACCGTTTCTCACTTTTAAATTCTCCATTGACCATGAATAAGATCTTAAACCTGCAAGCCCTTTCCCCCTAATGGTACTCACTTCCATAGTGGATTTTCCCAATGTCTCAGACTGTCATTTTTAAACTTTAATAACTATTAGATGACACATATTTTAAATATGCACATGGTGACTTGCTCACCCATACACCCTCTTGATCAGATTTATTTTAAAAGATCTTTGGTTTCAAAGCAGTCTTGAATAACTTCACCAGGTCTCAAACTCCCTAAAACAAAATCTGTTGTGTGTATCTTATTGGTGAGAGAGGGAAGCCCTAGATAAAATATTTGCAGATTTTAAAATGTGGACTATTTTTTATCCTCTAATCCTGGTCAGCAGAAGTAAATCTGAGCCTTAGTGACTTATATCTGTGAGATATCTTCATTTTCTCCAGTCCCAGTTGGTTCATACAATCATTATTTTAATCCTGCTCTACCCGGTACCATTTTCTTTACTAAGTAAGTGTTTAGTAAAAGGATTTAGTGAAAAGAAGATTAGAAAAGTATAAAGGCACTGCAGACTGTGCCACAATAAATTATACATTTTAGCCTGCATAACTGGCTAATAATATCACCAGTGAGATATAGAGCATATGGGTTAAGCTTCAACGCACCCTAGATTCCCATGTCACCTCACACAGAGTCATGGGGTGACAGTCCTGCAGTATGAAGTGTTAAACTGTTCAGTTTGTTATAACAGTTCTTATTACACTCCAGAGATCCTACAAAATCCACACACACAGGCATGAGAAGTATGTCGGTGTACTGACATTGCAGAGTAATTGCTGAACAGGACCACCCACCCTACAGGTCCCCAGTTACAAAATTAAACACAAACTCCTAGACCTTAGAGATGACAGACCAAATTTATCCTTGCTGTAACTCCAGTGAACTCAAGGTGTTACACCAGGGTTGGCCTGATGCATTCTGTGTGTTAGAGTAAAACTTCAAGGTAATTCCCAAGAAAATAGCACTGTAACAACCACCTCAGGGATTATAAACAATCTTGCAGATTCAACATAGCGTATAAGGAATGATTGAGTTTCAAAGATAATAGAGAGCAAGGATGAATAAACAGCCTGATAGAAATTAAAAAAATAACTCTCTGGATGTCTTTAGCATTCTACCCCTAGTCTGGAATGACCCCTTGAAAACATGGTTGTCTTTGTCAAACTTTAGAATGCAGCCAGTCTGGCCCAGTGGTGCACTGTTAGCACTGTGGCTGTCCCTGCTTTCCACGCTGGTATTGGTTAGATGTGTGGTACACTGGAGTTTGAGAGGTAGAGTTTCAGGTACTCCGATATTCTATCTTGTGTCAGGGAGCAATAATTTAGGCTAAAGAGAACAATACAAAGGGTACCGCAGGTAACTGTATCTGGCAAATTTACTTTCCCTTCAGTCTGTTTTCATGAATCTCATTCACAAACCTGCTTCACTCGCCTTCTCAGCAGCCAGGCAAAAGGGTGAAGTTAAGAAGCATTGTGACTTAGAGTTCAGTGATTGGTTGGAGAACACCAACTGCTTGCCAATCCCATTGTACCCTGCCCTGACTAAAGGCTCTTTGACAGTTGTCAGTGCCAACTGCCAGCTGCAGATGGATGCGAGCCAGCACGCGCTCACCTACTGGTCAGTGGAGTTGTAGGCAGGTTCCCTGTGTCTTGCCCCTTGGATGCCTGCAGGGAAAGAGAAGCAGGCTCAGAACCCTAAATCAAAACACATTAGCAAAAGTTAGGTCCTGCTGTGTTATTTATTTTAAGCTTATTTTAAATACTTCAACCCTTAGCAGCAGCATCTCCAGGAACCGTGCAAAGCTGCCTCTCAGACTGGCCTCTACTGGAATAAAAGGCCCATGGCATGGCTGACTTGAGCTCATGGGGCCCAAGCTTCAGGGATAAAAATTGCTGTGGACCCAATGTGAGGGTCCCAAAGCTCAGGCTCCAACCCAAGCCCAAATGTCTAGACAATTTTACAGTCCCACAGCCCAAGCCCCACGAGCCTGAGTCAATTGACCCAGGCCAGCTGCGGGTGTCTAATTGCTATCTAGACATACCCTCAGACTCCTCATTCATTGTTGCCCATGGTGGGTCCATATCCTTCCCCTCTCATGCTCTGCCAGTGACTCACAACACTGTGACCTCCTTCCTCTTCCCCATCTACAGCATATCCATAAATTACCTCATCTGTTTTTGGGACTTCAGGCCCAGATCCTCAAAGGAATTCAGGATCAACATCAATGGGAGTTAGGTATCTAAATACCTTTGAGGAGCTGGGCCTCAGCTACCATCTCTACCACTTTCCTTCCTCTCCTCAGAGCTTTCATCCTCTGTTCACTCTCTCATCTGCCACTGTCTTTCAGACATTTCTTCCTGAATGTCATCAGCATGAAGTCAGTATCTCAAACACATAACTTCCCCTCTCTCCCACCTCTCATTTCTACCCCTGCCCCTCTCTTCTGCATCTCACCTCAAACTTTAAGACCCAATATACCACAGCTAAACTCAAATACATGGCATACCAACCTCGCCTCCACCGCCCCTTCACTAAGTCCCTCTTACATTTCCCCACTCTCCAAGGCCCTTTCCCCAAGGTCTCTCTTAATCCCCGGGCCACCCAGGTCACTGATCCAGCCCCTGTAAATTAGAACAGTCCGGAGTCTGCTCTAAATTACGTTCAGCTCTATGACCAGAGAAGGTGGAACACTTACTTCCGCTGAGAATCCAGCCCAATATAGCCAACCCCCCAAAAGTAATACAGAATTAACTAAGACAAATGTGTGTTTCATTGTGAGATTTTATGCCCTTTGGGGTGAAGTGGGGAAGCAGGAAGCAGAACCATTCTTGCTGCAGAATCTTTACTCCCTTTTGTTTTCGCAGCTGTGTTTCATTAGTGCTCAGCCAGACTGCTTTTCCCTATTGGATTTGAAAAGTTCATTATATGGTGATGATTGTCTTTGCATGGAAATGCTGGGATAAGTGTGAATGGTTAGTAATGGGGGTTTCTGAAGACACGTTCCAACCGGGATAGCACATATTCAAAGCATATTAAAAACAAGATATTACTCCCTATGCATTACACACCACATGCTTAGGGGCTAATCCAAAGCCCACTAAAGCTATTGGAAAGACTCCCATTGACTTCACTGGGCTTTGGATCAGGCCATTAAAGCAGTTGGGTTTTTTCCCCCCCCTTCAGAGCGAGCGCTCCACTAAATCGGACAAAATGGTTGATCATCTCCTGGGAACCTGGAATTCAACCTCATGTGAAAACTTTGATGCATACATGAAAGAATTAGGTGAGAAATATTACAGGGTTTTAATGCTTTTTCTTTTAAGTGTCCTTTCTGCCTTTAATGGTCACTGTTTTTAAGTAGAAATAATCTGGGGATCTCTTGCTTTCCAGTCACTTGCAAACAAAGGAGTGACCACTATGAGATGGTAGAATAGGCTATGGGACATGATGGAACTCCTTTTTCCTTAAGACATTCACTGCTATAGTAGACTTGAAATGACACTGCAAGTACTGATCCTCCATTGCCTGGGAATTGCCCAGATAATCTACTACACCTGAAAAAACCTATGATATTTATAAAGTAACTTAATTAGTAAATCATTTGTAAATATTCTAGCCAGAGGTGTTTGTGTTAAAGATGATTACCACTCCCTGATTCCTTTCTTGAGATAACGTAAAAAGAAGTGGGTTTTTTGCATTGATTTTGTTTTAATGACTAAATTTTTGCTTTTATCCTGGAAAATTGAGTTCAGGATACTGAGCAATGGAACCAAGTGGTATACCTGTAAAATGTGGACACATGATGGTACCATCAAAACCTCAAATCCTGTTAAAATACTAAGACTTCCTTCAACTAAGCCAAGAATCCACCACAAATAAGAAGAAAAAGTGATGGTACACATTGTTCAGTTGCCAAATAGAGCCAATCAATTAGAATTAGCATCATTTTCGCAGTGGCCTAATATTGGGTTCTGCTTAATAGTACTACCAAACATTTCTCATACCTCAAATATGACAGTACCATGACAGTGACATCACTGATTCCCTAGTACCAATTGACAATTGCTGGCTTGTTTCTACAGTCTGCCTCTAAGGCAACTGACAACATTCTGAGACACAGCTGTTTGCTCTACATAAAACTTTATTAAAGGACTTGCAATTATAAGCCAAGCCCTCTCCCAAAATGTAGTGATTTAGGCACAATGTAACCCAGATTTGAACAAATCTATGAACTCCACCTCTGATTACCCTTTACGTTTTTTCTAGGGAGGTCTCAAAATCTCACCAGGTCTCCCTTAATAAATTATTTCAGCTTGTTTTGGTGCTGCAATCTTTCTCAAATACAGGCTTTTCGAGGCATAAACTCTGAAGGGATCAGTTTGTCTCTGTCCTTTGTGGGAACAAAGGGCTTAACTAATAATTATTCCCCCAAAACACAGGGCCTCGTTTGTGTTCGGCTTTCCATTCATTGGTCAGTCACTGGCAGTGCTTTATCCAGGATAGGTAAGACTGCAAGCAATGAATAAATAAGCCCTTACCAAGATCAGGTCACACAAAGCAGACTGTGTAAGCCATACTTTTAATGTTGCCTCATAAAATGCATTCTGAAATGCAAGGTACCCATGTCTATTTAAAACTTTTTCTGGGCACCTTGTAGTAAGCTTTATGAGGGAGTGTAGCAGATTGCAGAACTCACCGGCACAGCACCTCCTGCTGGTCATCTTGGAATTAGCTCTTTTCCAGCCTCAGAGCACCCTCTGCTGGCCAGTGGCTCACCTGCCTCAGTTTCATGTCCCTCCCAGACCCCACTGCCCTTTTACCTCAGGGTTCTGCCCCATGCTCTGGGTCTCCCCTTCCTGGGGAACCCCCAATCCTCTAACCCCACCTTGCCTCAGTGGCCACTGCTAGTCATAGAATATGGTTGGAAGGGACCTCAGGAGGTTATCTAGTCCAACCCCCTGCTCAAAGCAGGGCCAGTCCCCAACTAAATCATCCCAGCCAGGGCTTTGTCAAACCTGACCTTAAAAATATCTAAGGAAGGAGATTCCATCACCTCCCTAGGTAATGCATTCCAGTGTTTCACCACCCTCCTAGTGAAAACGTTTTTCCTAATATCCAACCTAAACCTCCCCCACTGCAACTTGAGACCATTACTCCTTGTTCTGTCATCAGCTACCACTGAGAACAGTCTAGATCCATCCTCTTTGGAACTCCCTTTCAGGTAGTTGAAAGCAGCTATCAAATCCCCCCTCATTCTTCTCTTCCGCAGACTAAACAATCCCAGTTCCCTCAGCCTCTCCTCATAAGTCATGTGTTCCAGTCCCCTACTCATTTTTGTTGCCCTCCGCTGGACTCTTTCCAATTTTTCCACATCCTTCTTGTAGTGTGGGGCCCAAAACTGGACACAGTATTCCAGATGAGGCCTCACCAATGTTGAATAGAGGGGGACGATCACGTCCCTCAATCTGCTGGCAATGCCCCTACCTATACATCCCAAAATGCCATTGGCCTTCTTGGCAACAAGGGCACACTGTTGACTCATATCCAGCTTCTCATCCTCTGTAACCCCTAGGTCCTTTTCTGCAGAACTGCTGCCGAGCCATTCAGTCCCTAGTCTGTAGCAGTGCATGGGATTCTTCTGTCCTAAGTGAACGACTCTGCTGTTGAACCTCATCAGATTTCTTTTGGCCTAATCCTCTAATTTGTCTAGGTCCTTCTGTATCCTATCCCTACCCTCCAGCATATCTACCACTCCTCCCAGTTTAGTGTCATCTGCAAATTTGCTGAGGGTGCAATCCACACCATCCTTCAGATCATTTATGAAGATATTGAACAAAACCAGCCCCAGGACCGACCCTTGGGGCACTCCACTTGATACCGGCTGCCAACTAGACATGGAGCCATTGATCACTACCCATTGAGCCCGACAATCTAGCCAACTTTCTATCCACCTTATAGTCCATTCATCCAGCCCATACTTCTTTAACTTGATGGCAAGAATACTGTGGGAGATGGTGTCAAAAGCTTTGCTAAAGTCCAAGGAACAACAGGTCCACCACTTTTCCCTCATTCACAGAGGGAGTTATTTCATCATAGAAGGCAATTAGATTAGTCAGGCATGACTTGCCCTTGGTGAATCCATGCTGACTGTTCCTGATCACTTTCCTCTCCTCTAAGTGCTTCAGAATCGATTCCTTGAGGACCTGCTCAATGATTTTTCCAGGGACTCAGGTGAGGCTGACTGGCCTGTAGTTCCCAGGATCCTCCTTCTTCCCTTTTTTAAAGATGGGCACTACATTAGTCTTTTTCCAGTCATCCGGGACTTCCTCGGATCGCCATGAGTTTTCAAAGATAATGGCCAATGGCTCTGCAATCACATCCGCCAACTTCTTTAGCACTCTCGGATGCAGAGCATCTGGCCCCATGGACTTGTGCTCGTCCAGCTTTTCTAAATAGTCCCCAACCACTTCTTTCTCCACAGAGGGCTGGTCACCTCCTCCCCATGCTGTGCTGCCCAGTGCAGCAGTCTGGGAGCTGACCTTGTTCGTGAAGACAGAGGCAAAAAAAGCGTTGAGTACATTAGCTTTTTCCACATCCTCTGTCACTAGGTTGCCTCCCTCATTCAGTAAGGGGCCCACACTTTCCTTGACTTTCTTCTTGTTGCTAACATACCTGAAGAAACCCTTCTTGTTACTCTTAACCTCTCTTGCTAGCTACAACTCCAGGTGTTATTTGACCTTCCTGATTTCACTCCTGCATCCCCAAGCAATATTTTTATACTCTTCCCTGGTCATTTGTCCAGTCTTCCACTTCTTGTAAGCTTCTTTTTTGTGTTCAAGATCAGCAAGGATTTCACTGTTAAGCCAAGCTGGTCGCCTGCCATATATACTATTCTTTCTACACATTGGGATGGTTTGTCCCTGTAACCTCAATAAGGATTCTTTAAAATACAGCCACCTCTCCTGGACTCCTTTCCCCCTCATGTTATTCTCCCAGGGGATCCTGCCCATCAGTTCCCTGAGGGAATCAAAGGTTCCCCACCCTTCTCCAATTGATCATCTAGCCCCCTTTCCTTGGGGCAGACTGCAGTCTATAATGGCCACTCATCATTGGCAAGGGGTTAGGACTGGCTGCCTCTGCCTATTCCCAGGCTGTATCTCTGCAGCCCTAGTACCTCTGTAGGCTTTCACCAAGGCCTGCAGTGTTACCAGGCTGCAGCTTTCTCTTCTCTTCTCTTCTCTTCTCTTCTCTTCTCTTCTCTTCTCTTCTCTTCAGCAGCTAGCCCCTCCCACTCCAGGGCTAGAGTGAGACTCCTCAGCTTCTGGCTCACAGCCCCTTTATAGGGCCAGCTGTGGCCTGATTGGGCTGGCCACACCTGTGATCAGCTATTCCCTTAGCTGCTTTCACTCCTTTTCCCAGCTGCAGCCCTCTCCACGACTGCTTTTAACCCCTGTTCTGCAGGAGTGGGGCAGCCACTCCACTACAGGCAGGTATTAAAAGTAGGGTGTGGGGAATGAGGAAGATGTCTGTATTATTTCATGTGAATATATATGCCTCCATTTACCTGCTGGATATTATTCTGGCTGACTACACAGCGTTAAATCACAGATCCATAGAATCATAGATTCTAAGGCCAGAAGGGACCATTGTGATTATCTAGTCTGAGCTCCTATGTAACACAGGCCATAGAACATCCTCAAAATAATTCCTAGGGCAAATCTTTTAGAAGAACATCCAATACGGATTTAAAAATTGTCAGCAATGGAGAATCCACCTTGGTAAATTTCTCCAATGATTAATTACTTTCACTGTTAAAAATGTACACCTTATTTCCAGTCTGAATTTGTCTAGCTTCAACTTGCAGCCATTGGACTAGGCTATACCTTTCTCTGCTAAATCAAATAGCCCATTATCAAATATTTATTCCCCATGTGGGTGCTGGTAGACTGTAATCAAGTCACCCCTTACCTTTCTGTTTGTTAAGCTACATAGTTTGAGCTCCTTGAGTCTATCACTCGAAGGCAGGCTTTCTAATCCTTTAATCCAGGGGTGGGGAACCTATGGCCCGCGGGCCGTATCCGGTCCATTGCTTCAATTCTTCTGGCCCGTGGCAAGTCTCCACATTGCAGGCCAGAGGACCGGAGCCTTGGCGCCCCACTCCCCCGTGGGGCTGGAGCCACAAGCGCCAGCACTCCCCCGTGGGGCTGGAGCCACAAGCGCCAGCTCACTCTGCTGTGGGGGAAAGTTAGGGTCAGCTCCAGCTCCCGGAAATGACCGGCATGTACCTGTGGCCCCTAGGAGAAGGGGTGATCAGGGAAGCTCTGTGCGCTTCCACCACTGCCAGTTCCGCAGCTCCCATCGGCGAGGAACCGCGGCCAATGGGAGCTGTGGGCAGCTCCGCGTAGGAGCCAGACATGACGGCTGCTTCCAGGAGCAGTGCGGAGCCAGGGCAGGCAGGAAGCCTGACTTAGCCCTGCTGCACTGCCGACTGGGAGCCGCCTGAGATAAGCACAGCCCAGCCTGAGCCCACACCCCTAACCCCCTGCCCCAGGGCAGAACCCACTCCCGCACTCCAAACCCCTTGGCCCCAGCCTGGAGTCGCCTCCTGCACCCCAAACCCCTCATTTCTGGCCCCACCCCGGAGCTTAGGGGAAGCCCTGAGCCCCCACCCCCCACGGGGCTGTGTGTGGCCCGCGACTGATTTTTTCTGTGGGTGAGTGGCCCCTAATAGAAAAAAAGTTCCCCACCCCTCTCCAGTTGATCAATATCCTTCTTGAACTGTGGACACCAGAACTAAAAACAGTATCCCAGCAGCAGGTGCACCAGTGCCAAATTCAGAAGCAAAATAATTTCTCTGTTCCTACTTGTGGTTCCCCTTGTTTATGTATCCAAAGATTGCATTAGCCCTTTTGATCACATCATCACACTGGGAGCTTCTGATCAGCTCATTATACACCATGACCCACAAATCTTTTTCAGAGTCACTGCTTCCCAGCCTTGAGTCCTCTATCATGTAAGTATGGCTTACCTTCTTTGCTCCTAGATGTATAACTTTACATTCAGCCATATTAAAACACATATATACAAAGAGAGATCCAAATCGCTCTGTATCAGTGACCTGTCTTCTTCATTGCTTACCACTCCCCCAATTTTTGTGTCATTTGCAAACTTCATCAGTGAGAATTTTATGTTTTTTTCTGAGGTCACTAATAAGCAAGCCCACCAACGGGAGTGGAGGCAAAGGGGCCCAGGGGCCTGGGTGATTAAAAAGGGTAGCCCCCGGCCCTTTTAAATTGCCCAGGCAGGCCACAGGGCTTCTAGGTGCGTGTGACTGCTCCAGGCCCTGCGCTTTGTGGGGCCCCACAGGCCGGCGCAATTGGCCAGTGCGGTCGGTCCTGGAAGTGACGGGTTGGTCCCAGAAGTGATGGATTCCTGAGACACTGAAATCCATAATGGTTTTTTTTCCTGGTAGCATTTAAGAGATCTGAATTATCTTGCTTACAGGAGTGGGCTTAGCCACCAGGAAACTGGGCAAGCTGGCCAAACCCAGCATGACCATCAGTGCTCACGGTGATATGGTAACCATCAAAACCAAGAGTGCCTTTAAAAATAATGAGATCTCTTTCAAGCTTGGTGAGGAGTTTGATGAAACCACACCAGATGACCGGAAAACCAAGGTGAGGATTAAAGCTGTCCTTCACGGTGCTCCCAATCTGCTGCAAAAGGCACAGACAGTTCTTTTCCACATGGTAAAAACACATCTGCTAATTATCAGAGTGGATAATTAGATAAGTTGCACTGAGCTTTCCAGGTGTGTTTAAGTAGAGCTTTTATATCCCCCTAAAAAAGGAGAAGAGCCAGATTCCATGAAGTACATTAGGAATTTTTTCCTTAGATTTATAGAGTTTAAGAACAGAAGGGATCATTAGATCATATAGTCTAACCCAGTTACCTCTGTAACTTTGTACCCAGCTCAAAAACTTATAGGTTAAAGAGCATCTAGAAGAAAGAATTCAATGTCGATAAATGCAAAGTAATGCACATTGAAAAATATAATCCCAACTATACATATAAAATGAAGGGGTCTAAATTAGCTGTTACCACTCAAGAGCAAGATCTTGAAATGATTGTGGAGAGTTGTTCTCTGAAAATACCCAGTCAATGTGAAGCAGCAGTCAAAAAAGTGAACAGAATGTTGGAAATCATTAAGAAAGGGATAGATAATAAGGCAGAAAATATCATATTGCTGCTATATAAATCCATGGTTTGCCCACATCTTGAATACTGCATGCAGATGTGGTTACTCCATCTCAAAAACGATATATTGGAATTGGGAAAGGTTCAGAAAAGGGCAACAAAAATGATTAGGGGTATGGAATGGCTTCCGTATGAGGAGAGATTTAATAAGACTGGGAGTTTTCAGCTTGTTAAAGAGACGACTAAAGGAGGATATGATAGAGGTCTATAAAATCATGACTGGTGTGGAGAAAGTAAATAAGGAAGTGTTATTTACTCCTTCTCATAATACAAGAACTAGGGATCACCAAATGAAATTAATAGGCAGCAGGTTTAAAACAAACAAAAGGAAGTATTTTTTCACACAACGCACAGTCAGCCTGTGGAAGTCCTTGCCAGAGGATGTTGTGAAGGCCAAGACTATAACAGGGTTCAAAAAAGAACTAGATAAATTCATGGATAGGTCCATCAATGGCTATTAGCAAGGTGGGTAGGGATGGTCCCTAGCCTCTGTTTGCCAGAAGTTGGGTATGGGCAACAGGGGATGGATCACTTGATGATTACCTGTACTGTTCATTCCCTCTGTGGCACCTGGCATTGGCCACTGTCAGAAGACAGGATAATAGGATAGATGGACCTTTGGTCTGACCCAGTGTGGCCGTTCTTATGTAAGGCATCCAATCTGAATTTGAAGACATCAGTAGATGGAAAATTCATCCTTCCCTTTGACAGTCTGTTCCAAATGGTTAATCACCCTCACTGTTAATATGTGCCTAATTTTTAATTTGAATTTGTCTGGCTTCAGTTTCCATTCATTTGTTCTTGTTATGCCTTCCTCTGCTAGCTTAAAGAGCTATTTACTATTCGGTGCTTTCTCCCTGTGAATGTGCTTATACATTGTAATAAAGTCACCACTGGTCTTTTTTATTTTTTTTATTTTATTTTATTTTAATAAACGAAACAGATTGAGCTCTTTAAGTGTCTCAACAAAAGGCATTTTCTCCATCCTTCAAATAATTTCTGTGGCTCATTTCTGCACCCTCTTCAATTTTTCAACACATTTTAAAACTGTGAACTCCAGAACTATACCCAGTATTCCAGTATTGGTCTGACCAATGCTGTATACAGAGGTAAAATCACCTTCCTACTCATACTCACTAATTCTCTGTTTATACACCTAAGGATTGCTGTCACAATCCTAGTCATTCCCCCTTCTGGACACTCACCAGGCTGCTGCGTTTGGGTCTCAACATGGTGGTGCCTTTTGCTTTAAGCTTCATCTGGCTCTGGGTTTTTAGGCACATTCTCAGGATACAGATCCTCTGTATAACACCTTTCTTGAGACCCCATGATCCAGCTGCCTAGGTCCTGAAATTAGTACTGGCTCCTTCCATCTTCCCATTAATTTAAGCACACCCTTTCTAAGGGCTCCTACCTTGTGGGCACTCTGGTGTACAGTCTCCAGGGACACATGATACGTGAAGCACACATCACAAAGACTTAGCTAAAGGTTCTTAAACCAATCATTCTCTACTTTAAACAGCACAAAAATTACACAGCTCTAGACAATACAGTAAAATATCTGTATGTCATTCTTGCCTCAATTTCCTCACTACTCTGGAGTATTCTTCAGGATTTGGAACAGTGTCCTTTCAGGATTCCAAGTGCCACCTCCTGGACCTCTCTCCTCCATCCAGCTTCCTTTGACCTTGGCTGGTCCTGCAGTAAAAAAATAAATAAATCCCCTGTCCTTCCTAAAGCCTGCTCCTTTGCTTTTTAAACCCCTGCTCTGCCAGCTCTTCCCATTTGTTCTCCTGTTTGGGGATTTTCCACTCTCCACTTTCCCTTCCCTGCAGATAAACTTGGTTAAACTAGTTTTCTTCCAGCTCAGGCATCCTCCATAGCATACCCATTGCCCTGTCAGAGCACAGTCATCACGGTTAACAACTTCTTTTAATAGAATCATAGGACTGGAAGGGACCTCACGAGGTCATCTAGTCCAGTCCCCTGCACTCAAGGCAGGACTATATTATTTAAACCATTCCTGACAGGTATTTGTCTAACCTGCTCTTAAAAATCTCCAATGATGGAGATTCCACAACCTCCCTTGGCAATTTATTCCAGTGCTCAACCACCCTCAGTTAGGAAGTTTTTGCTAATGTCCAACCTAAACCTCCCTTGCTGCAATTTAAGCCCATTGCTTCTTGTCCTATCCTCAGAGGTTAAGAAGAACAATTTTTCTCCCTCCTCCTTGTAAAAAACCGTCATTGTACTTGAAAACTGTTATCATGTCCCTTCTCGGTCTTCTCTTCTCCAGACTAAACAAACCCAATTTTTTCAGTCTTCCCTCATAGGTCACGTTTTCTAGACCTTTAATCATTTTTGTTGCTCTTCTCTGGACTTTCTCCAATTTGTCCACATCTTTCCTGAAATGTGGCACCCAGTACTGGACACAATACTCCAGTTGAGGCCTAATTACGGCGGAGTAGAGCATTGTGAAGAATTACTTTTCATATCTTACTTACAACACTCTTGCTAATACATCCCAGAATGATGTTTGCTTTTTTTGTAACAGTGTCACACTGTTGACTCATATTTAGTTTATGGTCCACTATGACCCCCAGATCCCTTTCCACAGTACTCCTTCCTACACAGTCATTTCCCATTCTGTATGTGTGCAACTGATTGTTCCATCCTAAATGGAGTACTTTGCATTTGTCCTTATTGAATTTCATCCTATTCACTTCAGACTATTTCTCCTCCAGATCATTTTGAATTTTATTCCTATCCTCCAAAGCACTTGCAACCCCTGGTATTGTCTGCAAACTTTATAAGTGTACTCTCTATACCATTATCTAAATCATTGAAGAAGATATTGAACAGAACCGGACCCAGACCTGATCCCTGCAGGACCCCACTCGTTATGCCCTTTCAGCATGACTGTGAACCACTGATAACTACTCTCTGGGAACAATTTCCAACCAGTTTTGCACACAGCTTATAGTAGCTCCATCTAGGTTTCATTTCCCTAGTTTGTTTAGGAGAAGGTCATGTGAGACAGTATCAAAAGCTTTCCTAAAGTCAAGTTATACCACATCTTCCCCCATCCACCAGGCTTGTTACCTTGCCAAAGAAAGCTATCAGGTTGGTTTGACACAACTTGTTCTTGACGAATCCATGCTGACTGTTACTTATCACCTTATTACTGTCTAGATGTTTGCAAATTGATTGCTTAATTATTTGCTCCATTATCTTTTGTTTTATCTTTTTGTTTGTTCTGTAGCTTATTCCAGAAGGGGAGGGGAGGGATTGATGTGACAGGGACCTTCCCAGCCCCTGGCTGACTCACTACACATTGAGGCATTCAATCACATGCAGTAATTTCACAAAATTAACCAGAATTCATAAACTGTACTTAGACAAATTTTCACAATCACATTAGCTCTTTTTGCCATAGCATCGCACTGGGAGCTAATGCTGAGTTGCTTGTCCACTATGACCCCTAAAATCCTTTTCAGAGTCACTGCTATCAAGGATACAGCCCCCTGTTCTGTAGTTAAGGCCTACATTTCTTCTTCTAGGTATATCATTTTGTATTTGGATGTAATAAAATGTATTTTGTTTTAATGGGCCTAGTTGACCAATCAATCCAGATTGCTCTGCCCTCATTAATTACCACCCCGGCAATCTGTTTCATCCACAAATGTTATCAGTAGTGATTTTATATGTATTGCCAAAACATGAATAAAAATGTTGAATAGCATTGGGGCTAGTACCTATCATTGCCCATCTATTTCACATGAAAGATCCCCGGATACCTGCTGCTCATCACATTGGGTATGGGCCATAGGGGATGGATCACTTGATGATTATCTAGTCTGTTCATTCCATTGGAAGCACCTGGCACTGGCCACTATTGGAAGACAGGATACTCGGCTAGATGGACTTTGGTCTGACCCAGTGTGGCCGTTTTTATGTTCAGTGTAAAACCCCAAGATAGAAAGTGGGACTTTCTGAGTGTTGAGTGAATAACTTCTTTAACCAGCATGACCATCAGCTCTTCTGGGCAGGGGCTATCTTTCAATATACGTTTGTACAGTAACTAGCATAACTGAGTCCCCCTGCACACTGGGGTAGTATATGTGCCTCTGCTGTAATTAAATTAAATAATAATTTATGTGTGCCTCTGCTCTAATTAGATTAAATAATAATAATCTGGGCAGGATACTCATGTTTTGCTTCTTTCTGTTTCTTCAGAGCATTGTAACCTTAGACAATGGGTCATTAAATCAGGTCCAGAACTGGGATGGCAAAGAGACCACAATAAAGAGACAAGTGGTAGATGGGAAAATGGTGGTGGTGAGTGAATTCATTCTAATTATCTGATCACTGATTAATGCAAAGCCGTAGAGATCATCTAAACAGTTATAGTTTAATTTTACATTCAATTTTTCTCCTTAAATAAATGTGGCTTATGTTAGAAGTGTGATTGGTTGCATAGGGCAGGAAGAGAACATTAGCAAATAGGCTGACTTAAGTTAATATTGAGGAATATGGGACAAGAGGAAAGATGGATTGGTGGTTAGCATGGAACTCAGAAGCCGTGTGTTCAAGTCCCTACTCCACCACACATTTCCTTTATAACTTTGGGCAAGTTACTTAGACCCAGATCCTCAAAGGTATTTGGTTACCTAACTTCTGTTGATTTCAATGAGATTTAGACACCTACATACTTTTAAGGATGCAGGCCTTAAACTCTCTGTGGGATAAAAGTACTTCCATATCTTAAAGAGGTGTTGTGAAGATAAATTCATTTAAGATTGTGAGGTGTTCAGATACTGTGGTTGTGGGGGCCATATAAGTAAGACAGAAATGAAGACGCTCAAAAGATGGCTGAATTCATACAAATATTAGTCTTTAACATATATTTTGATTTTTTTTGTAAATCAAAATATATGTTAAAGTTGGAAGGAAATGTGAAAAGGGGAAATACTAATACCAATAACCTTATAATATAGTGCACATTTTTCTTTGCACAAACAAAATGGATGAGATGATTTTTCTTCTCCCTCGTTGTATTTAAAGTGGGATTGTCTTTACTGTTTTGCTGTGAGAAAGTACAACTGTTTTGGTGAACTCCTCTTTTGTCTTCTAGGAATGCACCATGAATGACATCACCTGCACTAGGATCTATGAGAAAGCCTGAAGAAACTCTGTCAGTACCCTGCTTGACTAAAAATTGGAGTACTATAAACTTAACTGTTGTAGGTACTTAATAAAAAGCTTACAAATGAAGTAAATACTTATTGCCTTTATAGTGGTGTCTATAGGCTATTGAGTGGTTGGATTTTCTTTAAAAAGGTTGATAGTGCCTGATGCTAAATTTGCCTCACTAAAAGAATCTGCCCCATGACACCATTGATCCTAACAGCATTATGCACTTGCCACCAGCCACTTTTTTTTAAAATTACATTTTGAAAAGAATTGTATATGAGCCCTGAAAATGTTTTCTAATTACTGGGCAATGCACACTCATTTCAGTGTTTATAGAAGATTCACAGTACCTCAGACCAGGGGTCTCAAACTCAAATCACCAGGAGGGGCCACATGAGAACTTGTACATTGGCCCGAGGGCTGCATCAACCCCCTCTCCCACTTTCCCTCCCCCTTCCCCCAGGGCCGCACGGGGCCCTCAGCACCACGGGGTTGGCAAATCCACAGGCCGGCTCCAAAGTCCTGAGGGGCCGGATCCAGCCCAGGGCCATAGTTTGCCCACCCCTGGCCTGGAGGTAGGCTGGGGACGCAGCGCGCTGGGGAGGGTACAGGGACGGGGCCGCAGGGAGCTTGGCAGGCCGCAGGGACGAACCCTGTAGGCCGCATGTTTGAGACCCCTGCCTTAGACACTGCCATTACAGCTGGACCAGCTGAGGGAACAACATAAGAACAGCCATACTGGGTCAGACCAGTGGTCCATCTAGCCCAATAGCCTGTCTCCCAACAGAGGCCAGGGCCAGATGCTTCAGGTGAAATGAACAGAACAGGGCAATTTATTGAGTGATCCATCCCCCTGTCATCCAGTCCCAGTTTCTGGCAGTCGGAGGTTTAGGGACACCCCGAGTGTGTAGTTACATCCCTGACCATCTTAGCTAATAGATGAACGTATCTAATTCTTTTGTGAACCCAGTTATACTTTTAGCCTTCATAACGTCCACTGGCAGCGAGTTCCACATGTTGACTGTACATTGTGTGAAGAAGTACTTCCTTATGTTTATTTTAAATCTCCTACCTATTAATTTCAATGGGTGATCTCTTTTTCTTATGTTATGTGAAGGGGTAAATAACATTTCCTTATTCACTGTCTCCACACCATTCCTGATTTTATAGACCTCTGTCAGAACCCCCTCTTAGTCATCTCTTTTCTAAGCTGAACCATCACACTCTTTCTGATGTCTCCTCCTAGGGAAGCTGTTCCATACCCCTAATATTCTTTTTTTCCTTTCTCTGCACTTTGTCTTTTTTGAGATGGGGCAACCAGAACTGCACACAGTATTCAAGATGTGGGCGTACCATGGATTTATGTATTGGCATTGTGATAGTCAGTCTTATCTCCACCTCTTCTATTACGTTTTTTGACTACTGCTGCACATTGAGCATATGTTTTTAAAGAAGTATTCACAATGACTGCAAGATCTCTTTCTTGAGTAGTAACAGCTAATTTAGACCTCATTTTATATGTCTAGTAGGGATTATGTTTTCTAACATGCATTAATTTGCATTTATCAACACTGAATTTCATCAGCCATTTTGTTGCCCAGTCACCCAGTTTTGTGAGATCCCTTTGTAACTCTTTGGAGACAGCTTTGGACTTAACTGTCTTGAGTAATTTTGTATTGTGTTCATCTGTGGCTCTGATAATTCTATTTTTTGCTATAGTTTCAAGCAATTTGCCTACTACTAGAGTTAGGCTTACTGGCCTGTAATTGTCAGGATCACCTCTGGAGCCTTTTTTAAAAAAAAACAAAAACATGACACACACACACACACACACACAAAAACAACAACAACAACAAAAAACAAACACAAAAAACCCACAAAAAACACAAGACTCCTTCCTAGTCTGGGCCCAATCCTTTCCCCTGGTACAGTCCTTGTTAGTTCCAGCAGACATCTCAGGTGGTAAGCAAGGGATTTCTCATGGCTGGGACCCTTTTGTCCTGTTCCATCCCTTTTTATAGCTTTGGCACAAGGCGGGAATTTGTCGTCTCTCTGGGTCCCCACCCCTCCTTCTAAATGGAAAAATACCAGATTTAAGATGGATTCCAGTATCATGGTGACATGGTCACATGTCCTGTGAGACCCCAGCCCCCATTCTTCCTGTGCTGGCCCACATGTACACAGGAAGGTTTGCAAGTAAACAGAACCATTTACAGTTCATTGATTCTGAAGCACCCTTAATGGCTTCCACTTAATATGTTTACATCAGTAATACAAGTTTATATCTTATTCTGCTAACTCTAGACATAAACTAATACATGCAAACAAATAGGATGAACGCACTCAGTAGATTATAAGCTTTGTAATGATACCTTACAAGAGACTTTTTGCATAAAGCATATTTCAGTTACATCATATTCACACTCATAAGCATATTTCCATAAAGCCTATGGAGTAAAATGTCACAAGATAGTAAAATATTCATACCTGACCACCTTCAGTGCTCCACTCCAGATTTTGTCCAAGTTTACTCTCATAGCCTTACATTCTCCCGAATTCACCCACAAGGCAGTGGGGCTTTTCTGTAATGGCTTGCTCCCTTAGCCTTGCACCCTCCCGGGCTACCCAGAAGGCAGTCGGTTTGATGAGCCGCAGATAGGAACGTCTACTCTTATTACAGTAGCAGGTATAGCCTGACCTGAGTAGGGTTACCATATTTCAGGTTCCCAAAAAGAGACACTGCTGGAGAAGGGGAGGAGGGGTGTGTATACACACACACACTGGGAGGGGTATTCGGGGAGTTCTGTGGAGGTGCTGGTGGGGTGTGTATGTATTAGGAGGGGTACCTGAAGCCTCACTCTCAAGGTGAGGGGCAGTGTCACTCCATGTGACAGCAGCAAGGTGGCTGGTGCAGGTTCCGGACACAGCACCAGCCAGTGCCTTCCTGCAGGCCCCATCCCCAGGGCTGGGAGCTGGGTTGGCAAGGTCTGGCAGCTGGAGGGAAGGGACCCATTGGGGCACAGAGACAGCTCTTTCCAAGCTGCAACATCTGCTCACAAAAATCCCAGCCATTGCCTCTTATTTGCAAAATCCATCCAGACAGAGGATCAAAAAAAATGAGGTCATGTCTCGGGAAACCTGGACATACGGTCACCCTATATTTGGTGTGAATGCCATCTGGTTCTGATAACTTATTGATTAATGTATCAATTGTTCCAAAATCTCCTCTGTCAACATCTCAATCTGGGGCAATTCCTCAGATTTGTCACCTAAAAAGAATAGTTCAAGTGTGTAAATCTCCCTCACATCCTCTGCAGGGAAGGCTGATGCAAAGAATTCATTTAGCTTCCCCACAACAGACTTGTCTTCCTTGAGTGCTTCTTTTGCACTTTGATCATCCATTAGCCCCACTGATTATTTGGCAGGCTTCCTGCTTCTGATATACTTAAATTTTCTTTTTGCAGGTAGTGTTTGTGTCTTTTACTAGTTGCTCTTCAGATTCTTTTTGGGCCTGCCTATTTATCCTTGACTTGCCCAAATTTATGTTCCTTTCTATTTTCCTCAGCAGGATTTGACTTCCAATTTTAAGATTGGATTTTGTCTTTTACTCTACTAAGGAGAGATTTTCAGTGGTGGGTAGCCTTATAGCAACACACAGCCATTGGTTTGTAGTGTTCTACAGTTCAATTAGTAAGAATTTTAATAGGTTACTAAAGACCTTTATGAATTCTTCATGGGAATTGGTTTTTCCATTACCACCCCCACACTAACCCCACCAATCCCAATTAGACAGAATGTATTATAGCCCACAGCTGATGAAAGATTTGTTTAGAGCAGCATTTTTCAGAGTGGGAAAGGTGGACAGTTTGATACAATGACAAATATTTCCAAAAACCAGCAGCTTCATGTTCCTGAGATCCAAGAAGCTCTGTTTGCTCTTTGTGTGATTATACTTTGCCCTTTCCCTCCTGACTACACTGCTACAGGATAACACAATTTAAGCAGAGCAGAGGAACCAGGTGCTGTGACCCCTTCGCTCCCTACCATTGAATGCAAACTGCCTCCTCACCATCTTTATTCTCTGGTTTAAAGAAAGTTCCATTTCATTGATGCCTTAGGGATCAGAGATAGGCCTTACATCAAGTGTAGAAGGTGGATGCTGGGGGGGGGGGGGCGGGGGAAGAGGATTGAAGAGATGATTCAAGCTTGCTTTGACTAAGGACCTACTCCAAAGCCCTCATGTAAAGGTAGGGAATCTCCAGTTTAAACTAAGCTGTCACAGCTGTGGTCAGCAGAGGCACTGAAGAGCTGGTCCTTTATCTAACAAGCTAAATTCCAAATCATTCTGGGATTGGATAAATTGGAGCCCAGTAGTAGGAGAGAAGGTAGAAATCTAGTCTCTCCCTCCTCCCACCCAAAACCAACAACCTGTTTTTTGTAGCGACACTGATCTCCCCTCAAAGGACTGGGAATATAGGACTTCCAAAAAAAAAAAAAAAAAAGGGCTGTTGCTTCTTCTTTGGAGAAAGTTTGAAGACTTCCTGGGTTAGAGCTCCAGTACTGAATACAACTTCAGGTTTCAGAAGGCAAGCTTATGTCCCCACACTCTGAATACATAATACTAGCTCGTTAGTCTTTCAATCAAGGCAGAAATAAAAGATTTCAGTCTCTTTTAGAAGATGGCCCACAGAAGGGACATAAAATCTAGCTTCGCAGTAGATCCCCTATGGAGTGTTTGACCCCATAACAGACAAGGACTAACATGAAACTTGGAAGTTAACTCACCCCAGCCTCTCCTGTTGACAGACTAAGTCCTTTCAGCATTTAATTTTTACGTAGAATGGTATTACTATATCTGTTGAACCTCAAGCTATAAACAGCGTGGTTTATTTTCTTGAAGTGCAGATTAGGATGCTCATTTTTATGCACAGCCAATGTAGAGTTATATTAACAGCATTGTAATCTACAACACATTAACATTTGTTCAGAGAGACATTAATTTCAGAATATTTTATTTAGCAACCACATTAACATTTCTGGTTACATTAGTGTTTTTAATTAGGATTCTGCACCCATTAGGCCTTTTCTTCAGGCAACAAAACTAAGAAGCAGGAGAAGTGTAGTTTCCTGGACCTGAACTCATTCTCAGACCAAGTTAGACATTCCTGGACATGGAGTTTACTCATGCTCTCTCATAGACTCTAGTGCAAGTGATATTGTTCATGGTGTATTCCTGTAAGAAAAAAGGGAGTTTATTGAAACTCATGAACTATCAGTGAGATTCAGACTGCTGTTGAAATAAAAGAGCCAATCTTCTCCCCACTCAGAACTATAGTTATAGTACTTTACTAATTCCCTAGATACAGATCTGGGTTCTTTGCCTTTTTCTTCAATTTAAGCAGAAGAGGAAAGGACATTTTGTCCATTATTGCAATAAGACAATGGTGCTCATCGCTTCATCTCAGCCTTGACCATCCCAAAAAGTGGGTCATGTTTAGGTAGTTCTCATTTGCTTCCATTGGGTTTCATCTTACTCCACTTCCATTGGAGCATAGGTATATTTTGACTATGCAATTCAAACAGGGTTTTTCTGGTTACAGCAGCAGTTTGGACAGTGCTGCCATGTGTGCAGCCAGCCATTCACCAGTTAAATTCTTCCACACACAGGACTGAGCTTTGCTTCCCACCCCCAGCAGGTATAGCTATTTGAGGCAGGTGGGGAATAGTTCCACACTAAATCATAGTCTAGGCAGTCAGAAGAAATGCAATTAAGTGGCTTTTTAGAAAGCCCTGGGTTTGTTTGAATCAGCCCTGATGCAATTCCATTAAGATCTACTTAATGCCAGTAGTCAAATGATCTCACTCACCACAATCATCTTTCCATCCACTAGTTTTCTCTTTATTGTGGTCTCTTTATCATCCCACTTCTGTACCTGAGTTATTGAGCCTTCTTCCAAGGTGACAATGCTCTGCAAAGAGAGTAATTGACCAGAATCAGAGTTAGGGGGATAGTCTGAAGTTTAGACCTGGAGAACTGAGATGTTTCCAGCTCAGCTATTTGTGTTTATGTTAATGCAAGAACACATGCTAGCAAAGTTGACTGCTCCCATTCTTGTTATCCAACAGCAGGCACTGATGGTTAAAAATGAGTTTAGGAGATTTAAGATGGTATTTAAGCCAGAACCAAGTTTCACATTCTCTGAACACTTTGTTTCAGTAGGGCACTTTCTCCCTTCAGTTTGTTTCTCCTCAATGGAGTAATGGGAATGAAGGATGAGTGCTGCTTTAGTACTCACCTTGGTTTTCCTGTCATCTGCTGTGGTTTCATCAAACTCCTCCCCCAACTTGAAGGAGATCTCAGTATTTTTGAAAGTACTCTTGGTTTTGATGGTTATCACATCACCATCTGTGCTGATGGTCACAGTGGGTTTGGCCAGGCTGCCCAGTTTCCTGGTGGCTAAACCCACACCTGCAGAGGCACAAGACACTTATGTTCACTGTCAAGAAGCAAGACATTTCTTTAAAAAGTGTCTACCCTCTCTGTGTGGGCCATTCAAGACACATGTTGGGAGTTCAGGCTCAATGCCTCATCAGATCTGAATGTTTCTAGCCACCTGACAACCAGGCTACTTAAACCTCTTATTTATACAGCTGACAGGCCTGTAAAAAGTTACACACACACACAAAATTAAATTGAAGTGGTATCATAGTTCCATCAGCAGCTGACAAACCCTATCCCACATGGAATCTAGAATGAGCTGGTGGAGGGAGGTCAGCTTGATGAGCTTTGCATTTTCAGTTTAAAGGTACATTCTGCTGCTAACATCCTCTCAGCAAGGCAGTAATCACAAGGTAGAGGACTTTAACCCAATCAGTGATCCCCAAAGCTATGCAGGTTTTAGATTTACCCTCCTTCAGGGTTCCAATTATAGCTCAGCTGTTACCCAGCCACTGCTTCCCCTAAGCACTGCACTCTGGTGCCAGGAATAGTAAGTTATTGGTGATATTTCTAGCTCTGATACCAACATCCACATTTTGGTCTCTTACAATAGAGAATCTGAGACAACACCATTGATGTGCTCTAGATGTACACCAGCATAGATCAAAACAAGATTTAGCCTTCAGTTGTTTAGCTTACATTACTTTATAGTGGTAGATGCTAGGAGCCAGAGCCTGGCCTTCTATGTCCCAATTATCAAGACAGAAAGACTTTCTGCGCATGCTACTGAACAAGCAAATTACACCTACAATGTTATAGCAGCAGCTTCTTCCCTTTCAATCCTAATCCCCTGCCTAAAAAGATGCAAGGTCAGAATCCCATATAAAGGGATAGGAAGACACAGTAGGCATTTCTAGTTAACTGAAGCAACATTTCCTTTTTAAAAAAGGAATTTAAACTCTGATACATCCTAATTTTTTCCTCATTGAGTACTAGGGAACTACATAAGCAAGAGTCCCTAAGAACAATGAAAGAAATCCCAGGACAAGTAAGTGGCTAGTTATGCTTTCCCTGCTGAACAGTGGAACATCCCCAAATATCACAATATCATTTTTCTCACCCAGTTCTTTCATATAGTCCTCAAATTTTTCACTGGAGACAAACTTCCAGATTCCTACAAACAGGTCACACATTCTGTAGGGCTTGTTAAGTAATGCTCCACAGGGGAAAAGTCAGCAACTCTCAGTAAGAAGGAGCAAAAGAAAATGGAGAAACCACCTTAGATAGCTTCTTTAAAAGGATGACCTGAACATGTGATTCTCTAGGGCTGACCAATGGGAACTGAAGTGTTTTTGGAGACTCCATTCCAGGAGCAGATTACATCAGAGACTCCATTTCACTTCCATTTCTTTTAGTGCAAAACCCCAATCAAAAGTGGTAGCAATACCTTAAAGCTGAATGAATTATGCGAACAGGATCCTGACATTTTGATACATCTTAAAGTCCAAACATACCATGTTTCATAGCTTCAAAAAAAATTTTCCCAACCGAAGAACTTCTTACCTGCTTTCCTAAATGAGAGCAGCAGTAGTTTTAAAGGAACACCAAAATTAACAAAGAAGGCTACAGTACACCAATAAACAGCAAAATGGGTGTTAGCGGGTCTTTCCTGTATCAACATAATAACAAAAGAAAATGGGTATTTGAAAACAAAACAGAATATTAATTTTAAAACTACATTGTGTCTGAGAATATTTTACCTACTACAGAGACAATTAATCCTAAGATTCTTATAAATGAAAGAAGTTAAACTAATATTTTCTCTGTTTATTGTTTGATTGCTTTGTTCATTGGACAACACTTTATGCATAGTCAGTGCCATTTGTTGTTTGTGTGCATCTCCCACAAAGCACCAGGGGAGAGTAAGACATTTAAAAAACTAAGGACATGAGGCTTTAAAAGTACAAACGTGGCTGGGTGACCTTGGAATACACTGTAGCTGTGACAATATTTAATTTATTGTCAAGTAGACGTTGTCCTTCCAACAGGTGACAAAGTCTACAGCAGGAGGCATATCAGAAAGGGCAGAGCAATGGGATCAGACAAACCCCTTGACTGCTTCAAATGGAGACTGAGGTCCGAGGGTGTCCAAAAAGAACACAGGTATTCATTCTTTGGGATTGGAGACAGGGACCATAAAGATGCTGCTGCTCTTGCGGCCATATTAAGGGAGCTCGTGACTTTGGAGTTCTGCCCCCAAAAGGCCCTATGGAGGAGGCAGATAGTACTTGGGGCTGAATTATGGTGTTTACTTCTGAGACTTGGAGCAACATCAGTGGAAAAACTCCCATTGACTTCAATGGGGCCAGGATTTCATGTTTGGTGTCAGTGGGCTTCCTGTATTTCTGGCCCCGGTGGAGGGAGTTAGTGGGCATGAAGATTTTTGATGCTACTATATTTTAAAAACAGTTTCATTTTTATGGGTGTCTTAGTGTAGGATTGATGGCTGTACCGGCAACATACACATAAGGAATGGAAGATGAGATGCTGCAAAAAGTAAAGGGAGTAAGCAGTGGGATTTGGCATACACCTTGCTAGATCTGTGCTTTCTTTCCTTTTCTCTAAATCTTTTTTCTTTTAAAATATATTCGATCACCAGTTTTGTGATCACTTTTCCAAGAAATGGACTGAACTTTGCAGTTGCAAACGGACAATTTTTCAAATCACATCTAGGTGTTGTATGTCTCATGGCCACTGCTCTACAGATTCACATGTGGGGAGATTCCTGCTGTGTCATCTCCTAGTAAAATCCAGCATCAGGGTGAGCTGAGATAACATACTATTGGTTGCTTTTGGTGTTGGAAGCACCTTTTCTGCCTTGGACAAAAGGCAGAAAAATCATAAGAGGAAAAGGTGAGGGAGGCCACTTGCTATCAAACAACTACTAGATGAGTGTGTTTTTTTTTAAAACAAAATAAAGCATTAATGTGTTAGGGTGGAAGTAGAATCCAAGTGGTGGACTATAAAGGGAACAAAGGAAACTGGAGAAACAGGGAACTGAAGCCTAGAGTTTGTGTTCTGCATTACCTCAGGAAATTTACTTCTGGCCACTCTTTTAAAAGACAGCTGGGAAAGTAAGTCATAGCCTACAAATTATCTGATCACCATAGTGGAAAGCTCTGCTGGTAATGGAGGGATGAATACCAGAGGAACACCCCTGAACAAACTTCTCCTATGATCCAAATATTTTACATTTAGTTGAAGTGTGATAGCTAAGAATCTTACAGTCCCATGACCTTCTCAGGCTATTGAGTAACTCAAGATTTAAGAACAAGAAAAAGAATCACACCTGATTCAGATATAAATGCCAGTATTCAGAGAATGGGAGGTATAGAAGCACTCAGTGTACAGTTCATTTTCCACAGCATTTTGGAAACTACTTTTATTAGTTTATTAGTTTGCTGCTCTAGTTCGGTTAGACCTAAGCTGAGCTGCAAACTGTTGGAATTTTTACATAGAACCATAGAAAATTAGGGTTGGAAGAGACCTCAGAAGGTAATCTAGTCCAACCCTCTGCTTAAAGCAGAAACAACCCCAACTAACTCATCCTAGCCAGGGCTTTGTCAAGCTAGGCCTTAAAAACCTCTAAGGATGGAGATTCCACCACTTCCCTAGGTAACGCATTCCAGTGCTTCACCACCCTCCTAGTGAAATAGTTTTTCCTAATATCCAACCTAGACCTCCCCCACTGCAATTTGAGACCATTGCTCCTTGTTCTGTTATCTGCCACCACTGAGAACAGCCTAGATCCATCCTCTTTGGAACCCCCTTTCAGGTGGTTGAAGGCTGCTATCAAATCCCCCTTCACTCTTCTCTTCTGCAGACTAAATAAGCCCAGTTCCCTCAGCCTCTCCTCATAAGTCATGTACCCCAGCCCCCTAGTCATTTTTGTTGCCCTATGCTGGGCTCTCTCCAATTTTTCCACATCCCTTCTGTAATGGGGGCCTCAAAACTGGACACAATACTCCAGATGTAGCCTCACCAGTGCCAAATAGAGGGGAATAATCACTTCCCTCAATCTGCTGGCAATGCTCCTAATAATGCAGCCCAATATACCATTAGCCTTCTTGGCAACAAGGGCACACTGTTGACTCATGTACAGCTTCTCGTCCACTGTAATCGCCAGGTCCTTTTCTGTGGACTGCTGCTTAGCCAGTCGGGCGCCAGCCTGTAGCAGCGCATGGGATTCCTCCATCCTAAGTGCAAGACTCTGCACTTGTCCTTGTTGAACCTCATCACATTTCTTTTGGCTCAATCCTCCAATTTCTCTAAGTCCCTCTGGACCCTATCCCTACTCTCTAGCATATCTACCTCTCCCCCCAGCTTAGTGTCATCTACACGCTTGCTGAGGAGGGCAATCCATACCATCACCCAGATCATTAATGAACAAAACTGGCCCTAGGGCACGCTGCTTGATACCGGCTGCCAACTAGACATCGAGCTGTTGATCACTACCCGTTGAGCCCAACGATCTAGCCAGCTTTCTATCCACTGTATAGTCCATTCATCCAATCCATACTTCTTTAACTTGCTGGCAAGAATACTGTGGGAGACTGTATCAAAAGTTTTGCTAAACCCAAGGTATCTCATATCCACTGCTTTCTCCATATCCACAGAGCCAGTTATCTCATTGTAGAAGGCAATCAGGTTGGTTAGGCATAACTTGCCCTTGTGAATCCATGTTAACTGTTCCTGATCACCTTCTTCTCCAAGTGTGTCAAAATGTACTTGCTTATTGCAGCAGAGTTATACTTGCTTTCCAGTTAGTACCTTTCATGGGTAACTGTGCTGCACTATTTGCATGATTACACTATTAAGCTTCCATGGCTAGATACTGTTTGGAGTAAAACAGGTGTCTGATCCCACAGCTCATGTACTATGGAACTTAATTTGGAGAGGCTTCCCCACTTGTAGGTTGAGAAATTGATCTATTTGATAACTGCCATCAGATAGCTCTTTGATAAAGATGGCAGTTGCTGAGGAAGCAAGTGTTATTGCTTTAGCTAGAACAGAAGTGTCAGTCATTCTAGTAATGGGAGATAATATTGTAATCACAGGGTTTAAGGCTAGAGGATCCACCAGATCATCTGGTCTGACCTCCGGTCTATCACAGACCACCACTCAGCACCTGCACACAACCCAAAAACTGAATAGTTTGGTCCGATTTACAACCTTGTGGAGACTAGATTATGTGCCACAGGCAGAGAACAGGAAGGACAGAGGTACACCAAGCCACAATGCCAGGGAAATGATTAAGTGAGATATATACCCAAATAATCCTGGCAAGTGACCTGCTCCCATACATTGCAGAGCAAGGCAACCTTCTCCTGCTTCCCTCCCCCCACAGGTCAGTGTCAATCTGATCAGGGGAACATTCCTTTCTAACCTCACATACTGTGATCAGCTAGACCCTGAGAATGGGAGCAAGAACCAGCCAGCCAAGCAGAGAGAACGCTCATCAGTGCTACTTCAGAGCCCTGGCCCTCCCCATCAAGCATCCCATCCCCAGTGTCCCCTGATGCTTCAGAGGAAGCAAATAAAAAACAAAAAATCCTCTCCAGAATACATTGGGGATTTGTGTAGAGGGAAGGAAAGATATATATATCTCTTGATCCCAGCTGAAACTCTGCAGCATGAGTTTAGGAACAAAACAAACCGGAAGTGAGCCTAGGGCTGTTGATTCCCCATCCCCAATCACTAGCAATGACTGACAGGGTTCCTGGGGTTTTTTTTGGTTTTTAAAAAACCCCCACACCCAAACAAACCTCTCTCTCTACCACTGCTTTATAACGGTGGTTCGTATTTCAGTACTATTTTAGACTGGCAGAGAGTCAGCTAAGAGTAGACTATTCCACCATGTGTTCAGAAGCGACTTATTTAATAGCCGCAGTCACCAATAGCTCAAATTAGTTACAGAACTGCTTTGAATGCATTTGTTTCTCAAGGTGAAGCAAGATGCTTGTGTAAGCAGACAGCAGTGTAGTGCAGCTAGTCCTTGATCAGAACTTGCTGCTGAGAATCTGTTCTGGTGTGGAGACGGGAATTCCTCATGCTCTCTCAGACTCTAGTGCAGGTGACATTGTTCATGGTGCATTCCTAGCAGGGGGAAAAAATATAAAATTGACTGAAACTTCTGAACTATCACACCAGAATTTTATGAGTCTAAGTAGGGCAAGGATGTTTGTCATTTCTCAGAGTCAAGGGTGTTTATTTAGTGCCCATCACTAGAATATTCATGTTAACAGAAAAAGAACCCAGACATTTCTTGCCTCCAAGAACTCTTTAGTGCTAGCGGATCACTAAATATACTCTACTTCTCTGCCTAGTGCACTTGAACAGCAGGCCTTATCTTCCCCTAGCTTCCTGTTCATCATGTAGCAGCTAGTACAGTGATACAGCCCATAGGTGCTGGAACTAGGGGTGCTGCTGCATCCCCTGGCTTTAAGTGGTTTCCATTATATACCGGGTTACAGTTTGGTTCATTGCATCTCAGCACCTGCACTATAGAAGTTGTTCCAGCACCCTGATACAGACCTTATTTTTGGTCTCTTTAGGGCTTCCCCACCAGTTTTATTTCAACTGAAGCTTCCCTACGTTGTATATTCCTCCCTTGTTCACCATCATAAGTCACAGCAGCATTTAGTTTGTACTTTTCTATTTCAAAAGAATTTAGTGCCCAGATGAGCGTTTAAAAAAAAATAAAAAGATTGAACTCACCACAACTATCTTCCCATCCACCAGCGCTCTCTTGATTGTGGTCTGTTTGCCATCCCACTTCTGCACCTGAGTCAGAGAGCCACTGTCCACAGTTACAGTGCTCTGCCAAAAGAAGAGAAGTAAATGGACCCCGGGATATTCTGATGGGACACTTTCAGTCTCTCCTGTTGCAGCTATCTACTTCAAATAAATTAATTGGGCCACCACGGGAGACTCACTCTGTTGTCAGAGTACTTAGGGCACTCACCTGAGAGGTGGGAGATGCCCGTACAAATTCCTTCTTCTCAGGCCAGGTGAATGTGGGGGATTTAAACTGAAGTCTCCCACATCCCTAACCACTGGGCTGAGGAAGGCTGCCACCACCACCTCCACCTCCTGCAAACCATTCTGGCCGGGTTCCAGCTGTGGGCTGCAAGCAGGAGATAGGCGCCCAATTCTGTGAGAGGGAGGGACCTTACACCACACCCCTCTCATTGTCATCTCCCATTGGCTAGCTTAGGCAGTTCACTGCCTAGCATGCCAGTTTCTGTGGATCCAGGTCTAATGTCTGCGGATCATTCTGCAGGTGCCCGTCTCTGCTCATGCATTGTATAATGAGCCTAGGTACCTAACTCAGGCTTTGTGAATCTCAGGGATTTTCTGGTTGCCTAGACATTAGACCTGGATCCGCAAAGAGACTTAGATGTTGCAATGCCTTAGACCTTAGAAGAGAGGTGGGATTTAGTTTGTGGGTACATGATTGCCCTAGAGTCAGCCAGAAGAGACAGCCATGGGGACTGGGAAGGAAGAAAGTCACATCAAGACAAAAATAATCATAAGCAAGAAAGGGCACAAAGCCAGGTGTCCTTTGCAGGAGGATTAGCCTGAAGGATTAGCCCTCACCATGGTTTTCCTGTCATCTACTGTGGTTTCTTCAAACTCTTCTCCCAGCTTGAAGGAGATCTTGGTGTTTTTAAAGGTGCTCTCTGTCTTGATGGTTATTATATCCCCATTGATGCTGATGATCACACTGGGCTTGTCCAGGCTGCCAAGTTTCCTACTAGTAAAACCCACCCCTTGAAAAAGAAAAGCAAAAGTTAACCACTTGGATTTTACATGCACATCCAGAAGGGACACATAGCTCACTGGAACTTGCTGAACAGGTCTGTGGATGTATGAGAAGTCATCTCACTAACACTTGAGTGGGCTCTAGGTGGAGTACAAAGGAGGACACTGAGATTAGCAGAAATATAGAAAGGGGGAAAAATCTATGAGGTAAAAAACTGTTATTTTTATGGTCACTTTTGAAATTGACACAGCCACTAGATTAAAGTGTGCTTATAATGCTAGGTCACTGCTAGAGCCAAACCCCAGCTACTGAATTTAAATCCTTATCCAAAACTTTCTAAGTCTTCAGGGATATTTGTTCGGGGCAACATACCTGGATATCAGCTATTCACATAGTTACATTAGGGCCCTCATAACTTTTATTGAGTATTATTTTATTATTTTATTGGTATTAGCAAGCATTAACCCACAGGTTCCACAAGCAACTCATTCAAAGTACTGATAGTCAAGAAAGCATTATCAGTAGATAACAGCCCCAGGAAGATTCAAACAGTATCTCCCCTGAATCGTTACCTAGAAAGAAATTTGTGAAATATGAAGAAAAGCCAGGAACTATGTTCTATTATCCCAAATCCAAATAAGCATCAGCAATCTAAAGTGAAGCAACCATGAGTAGAAAACTAAATTGAGTAAATAAATAGAATTAAATACATTCTCAGAATCATTGGAGAGAGATTTCTTGCTTGAATTCCAGTACATGCCTTACCCAGTTCTTTCATATAGCTGTCAAAGTTTTCACTAGAAAAGAGTTTCCAGGCTCCTAAAAATAACTTACACATGATACAGACAATGGTTGATACTATTACTAAGCAAAGAAGAAATTACTCTCACTAGAAGACCTGAAGCTATTATGAGCTACATAAGCTCAATGGCTTCCTTTTAAAGGTGCCCTGAACATGTGATACTCAGCGACATCCAATCAGGAGAGGCAATGCAAAGACACCAATCATTTCCTTTTTCTTTCTTTTAGCATAAACCTAAAATCCTTACAGCTGGCAGAGTACACAAGGAAAGTTGTTCAGTAAAGGATGGTAGTCCCAAAGGTAGCTTCTAAGCCCTGATCTACACTAGGACTTTAGGTCGAATTTAGCAGCGTTAAATCGATGTAAACCTGCACCCGTCCACACGATGAAGCCCTTTATTTCGACTTAAAGGGCTCTTAAAATCGATTTGCTTACTCCACCTCTGACAAGTGGATTAGCGCTTAAATCAGCCTTGCCGGCTTGAATTTGGGGTACTGTGGACACAATTCGACGGTATTGGCCTCCGGGAGCTATCCCAGAGTGCTCCATTGTGACCGCTCTGGACAGCACTCTCAACTCAGATGCACTGGCCAGGTAGACAGGAAAAGAACCGCGAACTTTTGAATCTCATTTCCTGTTTGGCCAGCGTGGCAAGCTGCAGGTGACCATGCAGAGCTCATCAGCAGAAGTGACCATGATGGAGTCCCAGAATCGCAAAAGAGCTCCAGCATGGACTGAACGGGAGGTACGGGATCTGATCGCTGTACGGGGAGAGGAATCTGTGCTATCAGAACTCCGTTCCAGTTTTCAAAATGCCAAAACCCTTGTCAAAATCTCCCAGGGCATGAAGGACAGAGGCCATAACAGAGACCCGAAGCAGTGCCGCGTGAAACTGAAGGAGCTGAGGCAAGCCTACCAGAAAACCAGAGAGGCGAACGGCCGCTCCGGGTCAGAGCTCCAAACATGCCGCTTCTATGATGAGCTGTATGCCATTTTAGGGGGTTCAGCCACCACTACCCCAGCCGTGTTGTTTGATTCCTTCAATGGAGATGGAGGCAACACGGAAGCAGGTTTTGGGGATGAAGAAGATGATGAGGAGGAGGAGGAGGAGGTTGTAGCTAGCTCACAGCAAGCAAGCGGAGAAACCGGTTTTCCCGACAGCCAGGAAGTGTTTCTCACCCTGGACCTGGAGCCAGTACCCCCCGAACCCACCCAAGGCTGCCTCCTGGACCCAGCAGGCGGAGAAGGGACCTCTGGTGAGTGTACCTTTTAAAATACTATACATGGTTTAAAAGCAAGCATGTGAAAGGATTAATTTGCCCTGGCATTCGCGGCTCTCCTGGATGTACTCCCAAAGCCTTTGCAAAAGGTTTCTGGGGAGGGCAGCCTTATTGCATCCTCCATGGTAGGACACTTTACCACTCCAGGCCAGTAACACGTACTCGGGAATCATTGTAGAACAAAGCATTGCAGTGTATGTTTGCTGGCGTTCAAACAACATCCATTCTTTATCTCTCTGTGTTATCCCCAGGAGAGTGAGAGATCATTCATGGTCACCTGGTTGAAATAGGGTGCTTTTCTTCAGGGGACACTCAGAGGAGCCCGTTCCTGCTGGACTGTTTGCCTATGGCTGAACAGAAATGTTCCCCGCTGTTAGCCACGGGGAGGAGGAGGGTTGAGGGGGTAGCCATGCGGTGGGAGGAGGCAAAATGCGACCTTGTAACGAAAGCACATGTGCTATGTATGTAATGTTAACAGCAAGGTTTACCCTGAAAGAGTGTAGCCACTGTTTTATAAAATGTGTCTTTTTAAATACCGCTGTCCCATTTTTTTTCTCCACCAGCTGCATGTGTTTCAATGATCACAGGATCTTCTCCTTCCCAGAGGCTAGTGAAGATTAGAAAGAAAAAAAAACACACTCGTGATGAAATGTTCTCTGAGCTCATGGTGTCCACCCACACTGACAGAGCACAGACGAATGCGTGGAGGCAAATAATGTCAAAGTGCAGGAAAGCACAAAATGACTGCGAGGAGAGGTGGCGGGCTGAAGAGAGTAAGTGGCGGGCTGAAGACAGGGCTGAAGCTCAAATGTGGCGGCAGCGTGATGAGAGGAGGCAGGATTCAATGCTGAGGCTGCTGCAGGACCAAACCAGTATGCTCCAGTGTATGGTTGAGCTGCAGCAAAGGCAGCTGGAGCACAGACTACCACTACAGCCCCTCTGTAACCAACCACCCTCCTCCCCAAGTTCCATAGCCTCCTCACCCAGACACCCAAAAACGCGGTGGGGGGGCCTCCGGCCAACCAGCCACTCCACCACAGAGGATTGCCCAAAAAACAGAAGGCTGGCATTCCATAAATTTTAAAGTTGTAAACTTTTAAAGTGCTGTGTGGCATTTTCCTTCCCTCCTCCACCACCCCTCCTGGGCTACCTTGGTAGTCATCCCCCTATTTGTGTGATGAATGAATAAAGAATGCATGAATGTGAAACAACAATGACTTTATTGCCTCTGCAAGCAGTGATCGAAGGGAGGAGGGGAGGGTGGTTAGCTTACAGGGAAGTAGAGTGAACCAAGGGGCAGGGGGTTTCATCAAGGAGAAACAAACAGAACTTTCACACCGTAGTCTGGCCAGTCATGAAACTGGTTTTCAAAGCTTCTCTGATGCGTACCGCGCCCTCCTGTGCTCTTCTAACCACCCCGGTGTCTGGCTCCGCGTAACCAGCAGCCAGGCGATTTGCCTCAACCTCCCACCCCACCATAAATGTCTCCCCCTTACTCTCACAGATATTGTGGAGCGCACAGCAAGCAGTAATAACAGTGGGAATATTGGTTTCGCTGAGGTCTAAGCGAGTCAGTAAATTGCGCCAGCGCGCCTTTAAACGTCCAAATGCACATTCTACCACCATTCTGCACTTGCTCAGCCTGTAGTTGAACAGCTCCTGACTACTGTCCAGGCTGCCTGTGTACGGCTTCATGAGCCATGGCATTAAGGGGTAGGCTGGGTCCCCAAGGATACAGATAGGCATTTCAACATCCCCAACAGTTATTTTCTGGTCTGGGAATAAAGTCCCTTCCTGCAGCTTTTGAAACAGACCAGAGTTCCTGAAGATGTGAGCGTCCTGTACCCTTCCCGGCCATCCCACGTTGATGTTGGTGAAACGTCCCTTGTGATCCACCAGAGCTTGCAGCACTATTGAAAAGTACCCCTTGCGGTTTATGTACTCACCGGCTTGGTGCTCCGGTGCCAAGATAGGGATATGGGTTCTGTCTATGGCCCCACCACAGTTAGGGAATCCCATTGCAGCAAAGCCATCCACTATGACCTGCACATTACCCAGGGTCACTACCCTTGATATCAGCAGATCTTTGCTTGCGTGGGCTACTTGCATCACAGCAGCCCCCACAGTAGATTTGCCCACTCCAAATTGATTCCCAACTGACCGGTAACTGTCTGGTGTTGCAAGCTTCCACAGGGCTATCGCCACTCGCTTCTCAACTGTGAGGGCTGCTCTCATGTTGGTATTCATGCGCTTCAGGGCAGGGGAAATTAAGTCACAAAGTTCCATGAAAGTGCCCTTACGCATGCGAAAGTTTCGCAGCCACTGGGAATCGTCCCAGACCTGCAACACTATGCGGTCCCACCAGTCTGTGCTTGTTTCCCGAGCCCAGAATCGGCATTCCACAGCATGAACCTGCCCCATTAGCACTATGATGCATGCATTGGCAGGGCCCATGCTTTCAGAGAAATCCGTGTCCATGTCCTGATCACTCATGTGACCGCGCTGACGTCGCCTCCTCTCCCGGTATCGCTCTGCCAGGTTCTGGTGCTGCATATACTGCTGGATAATGTCTGTGGTGTTTAATGTGCTCCTAATTGCCAAAGTGAGCTGAGCGGCCTCCATGCTTGCCTTGGTATGGCGTCCGCACAGAAAAAGGCGCGGAACGATTGTCTGCCGTTGCTCTGACGGAGGGAGGGGCGACTGACGAAATGGCTTACAGGGTTGGCTTCAGGGAGCTAAAATCAACAAAGGGGGTGGCTTTACATCAAGGAGTATTTCAGGCAGGACTTCACGGAGGGTTCCAATAAGAAATGGTGCACCTAAGTTATTGTTCTTATTGGAACAAGGAGGTTAGCCTGGCCTCTGATTGATACATGGCTAGATTTACCTCGCTGCACCTTCTCTGTGAGTGACTGCAGTGTGACCTAGAGGAATGAGTCCCCTAGACGGGGGAGGGGGGGAAGCAAATGAGTACAAAACAAATCTGGTCTATTTCTTGTTTTGATCCACTCCATCTATCTTTTACATCTTTGGCTGGCAGCAGACGGTGCAGAAGGACTGCATGCCATCCACATCTCATGGCTGCTCGGCAGAAGATGGTACAATAGGACTGCTAGCCATCCTCATCTCTTGCCTGCCCGGTTGAAGATGATGCAATAGGACTGCTAGCAATCCGTATCGCCTGCCTGCTCACCATAAGATGGTTCAATAGGACTGACTGTAGGACTAAAGAGAATGACTTGATCAAGTCACTCCTAATTTAGTTCCTGTGCCCATGTCTGCCCAGGCGCTCCTGGCCGACGTGGCCAGGAGCACCTCGGACATGACGATGACGGCTACCAGTCCTATTGCACCATCTGCTGCCACAAGGCAATGGGTTGCTGCTACTGTGTAGCAATGCAGTACCACGTCTGCCAGCACCCAGGAGACATACGGTGACAGTGAGCTGAGCGGGCTCCATGCTTGCCGTGGTATGGCGTCTGCACAGGTAACTCAGGAAAAAAGGCGCGAAACGATTGTCTGCCCTTGCTTTTATGGAGGGAGGGAGGGAACGGGGGCCTGACGATATGTACCCAGAACCACCTGCGACAATGTTTTAGCCCCATCAGGCATTGGGATCTCAACCCAGAATTCCAATGGGCAGCGGAGACTGCGGGAACTGTGGGATAGCTACCCACAGTGCAACGCTCCGGAAGTCGACTCTAGCCTCAGTACTGTGGAAACACTCCGCCGAGTTAATGCACTTAATGCATTTTCTGTGGGGACACACACACTCGAATATATAAAACCGATTTCTAAAAAAATGACTTCTATAAATTTGACCTAATTTCGTAGTGTAGACATACCCTAAATGAAATTGAGTTTTTTCAATCAGCTTTCCCAAATTAGAGAGGGATCAGCTGTAAAGAGACCTGTCAGTTTGTGTAGACTAAAGAAGTCCCTTCCTGATGTGCCTGTGAGACCCACACAAGGCTTGATTACTGCCTGTGGTGATGCTTCCTGACTCCGAGCAAGTACTTCCCTTTAAACTGAGCAACTTCTGATTGCTCTCAAACCTGGCTCCATCAACATCTTATCTTCTCCCCGCCATGAGTACAGTGCTCAAACGTGAGCTGGGGGAAGTGGTGATTTACTTCAACTTTTTGTCAACTTTCCCCCCACCTAGATGCAGTGAAGAGGGCTGCTCTGTCATTACTACATATGACCCTCAATACCCACATCCATTAAGAATTCTCCCAGTCACTCCAATTCATTCAAAAATTCTCTCCAATCCATTTCACCAGCAAGTCCTAGACCCTATGGGGAAGGGTTGGGGGGTCGCTCATTATTCAAGGATGGTTTGGGTTCCTTAAAACTCAGATGAGAAAGGCTGAGGTAGGAAGTATGCTAGGCAAGGCAGAGTGGTCAGACCAGACCAGACCAGAGTTGGTGAGATTTTTTTGACAAATAATTTATTTGCCAAAAATGCTCTTTTGGTCAACCCAAAACTGTTGGGTATTTGCCATGATTTCACTGAATAGTTCAGGCCAAAATAAAATTTTGTGGGGAAGTGAGTTGCCATAAACAAAGCAGTGGTGGGCACGGAGGGAGGGAGCAGCAACAGTAGCAGGAAACACCCAAGTTAAAGCTTTTAGGCTAGTGATTAGAGCACTCACCTGGGATGTAGGAAACCCAGGTTCAGTTCCCCACTCTGCCTGTTGTGGAAAGTGCCCTAATCACTTGGTTATAGCATAGTCTGGGGTAGGTCTCCCTCAGTGTCTCCTGTTGAAGGTGTTCTACTTTGCAGAAAATCCTTGACTAATCAGTGGACTAGAGAGAGTGAGAATCTCTCTTTTACCTAGCAGCCGGGGCATTCAGCGGGAGACTTTCTTGTTTCACCAGTTTTTTTGAAATTTAGTTTAGGTTGAACCAATATTTTTTTTTGGAACGGGGTGGGTAAATGGACAAATCCCTTGGCTGTTGCAAACGGAGACTGGAGTCATAGTGTATCCAGAAAGATGACAGGTACTGATGTCTATGATGGTGGAGACAGAAACCATGAAGAGGCTGCTACTACTGTGGTCACAGTAGGGGAGGTAGTGGCAGATAGTACTGGGAGCTTAATTATGGGTGTTTGCTGCTGAGACTTGGAGCAACATCAGTGTCAAAACTCCCATTGACTTCAATGGGGACAGGATTTCATTCCTGCTGTCTTGTCAGTGGGTTGGTAGCCTCTCTGGTCAGGATGGAGAGGACTTATCTGCAGATGTGTGTGAGAGAGAGGGGAGGCTCTTGGTTCTATTATCTTTTTCAGTTGTGATGTTTATAGAATCATAGAACTGGAAGGGACCTTGAGAGGTCATCTAGTCCAGTCCCCTGCACTCAAGGCAGGACAAAGTATTATCTAGACCATCCCTTATAGGTGTTTGTCCAACCTGCTCTTAAAAATCCCCTATGATGGAGATTCTACAACCTCGTTAGGCAATTTATTCCAGTGCTTAACTACTCTGACAGTTAGGAAGTTTTTCCTAATCTCCAACCTAAACCGCCTTTGCTGCAGTTTAAACCCATTGCTTCTTGTCCTATCCTCAGAGGTTAAGAAAAATAATTTTTCTCCCTCCTCCTTGCAACAACCTTTTATGTACTTGAAAACTGTTATCATGTCCCCTCTCAGTCTTCTCTTCTCCAAACTAAACAAACCCCATTTTTTCAATCTTCCCTCATAGGTCATGTTTCCTAGACCTTTAATAATTTTTGTTGCTCCTCTCTGGACTTTCTCCAATTTGTCCACATCTTTCCTGAAATGTGGCATCCAGAACTGGACATGATACTCCAGTTGAGGCCTAATCAGAGCGGAAAAATTTCTTCTCGTGTCTTGCTTACAACACTTCTGCTAAAACATCCCAGAACGATGTTTGTTTTTGCAACAGCATTACACTGTTGACTCATATTTAGCTTGTGATCCACTCCGACCCTCAAATCCCTTTCCGCAGTACTCCTTCCTAGGCAGTCATTTCCCATTTTGTATGCGTGCAACTGATTGTTCCTTCCTAAGTGGAGTACTTTACATTTGTCCTTATTGAATGTCATCCTATTTACTTCAGACCATTTCTCAAGATCATTTTGAATTTTAATCCTATCCTCCAAAGTACTTGCAACTGTTCCCAGCTTGATATCATCTGCAAACTTTATAAGCGTACTCTCTATGCCATTATATTGAACAGAACTGGACCCAGAACCGATCCCTGTGGGACCCCACTCCTTATGCCCTCCAGCATGACTGTGAACCACTGTGGGTCTCCTAGTGCAGGATCAAAGGCTGTACTGGAACCATACAAATGAAAGATGGATAAGAAGCAACAGAAAGCAAAGGGAACGAGGAGTGGGGTTTGGTACACAGTTTGCTTGTTCCGTGCGTTCTTTCCTTTTTTTCCTTAGTCGTTTTAGCAATATTCTATCAGCAGGTCTGTAAGCACTTTCCCAAGAGCTAGGCTGATATTTTGCAGCAGCTGATGGACACTATTAAAAATCACTTCCAGCTATTTTACATCTCCTGGACACCCCTGTCCCAATTCACATGTAAGGAGATACATATTGTCATCTTGTAAAGTCCAGCATCAGAATGATCTAAGATGAATTAACTGGGCTGCTTTGAGAGGATCTGCAGGTGATAGGCTGCTTTGTAGCAAGGCTTATGCCCAAGGTTCCTGAGACTCCATACACACCACTCCAGAGCATCCAGCCCATGGGGCTCTTCCCCCATTGGAATATCACTGCCTCATGTTCTACTGGTAGCCTCCCCCTCGATAACCTCACTACTGAGAGGGGAGCTGTCAGCATAGTATCCCCTAAATAACCTGCAGTTTGTAGACAAGAAATAAAAACACACATTCCCATAAGGAGCCTGCATGGTGGTGCAGCTTCCCTGCTTTGGGACCTGAGCTAACTAGCATGATTGCAGCTTAAGCAGACATACCCTGGGATTTCAGTACAAACAGACCCAGAATTTCACCCTAATGAAATTTTGCTTCTAGGTTGATGAGCAACAAAGGAATGACCCTGAGATGATTTTCATCCATTAATTCTTGGATAGTTGAATTGAGATATATAATAGGCAGGGCCCCACCCCATCAATTTCACAGCCATGAAAAATGTGTCACAGACCATGAAATAAACCCCTCCTTTTGAAATCTGATCTCCCCTGTGCTGCTAGGAGCACCCTACCTGGGGGGTGCCTAGCTGCAAGTCCTAGCCCAGCCTGGTTTCCTGCAGCAACGAGAAGGTACCTGGAGGTGGATCTGATCCCTCCCTCTTGCCTTGAGAGCAGCCATCTAGGGGAAAGAGCAAGCCCCTTTCATCCCCAGCCTGGCCAGGATTAGCAAGTAGGCGGCCCAGACTGGGTGCTTCAGGCAGCATGGGGAGATCAGACCCACCTCCAGGATACCAACAGGTATAGCTGTTCTCAAGGGGCTTAGCACAAAAGTGATGTGGCAATCCCATGATTCTCCTCCCCCCACCCACAACAGGTGTGGGGCACCTTCCTCCCCTGCCTTGTTTTTGGGTCAGGACCATCATGGTTACAACACCATGAAATTTCAGATTTAAACATCTGAAAATGGTAAATTTACCAATTTTCAAATCACATGGCCATGAATTTGGTAAGGCCCTAATAATAGGCTTCCAGTCACATATGATTGTGAAGCCCTGTGTTAATAGAAACTGAAGATCTAAACAGGAGACAATGATATACACCTGATTCAGGTATCTATGTCACTATTCAGAGACTGGGAGGTATGGAAGTGGTCAGTGTGTAATGCTATTTACACTGATGTGTGGAAGACTGGTTTTGTTAGCTTTAGAGGGTCTTACTGCTTTAGTTGGGTTTTGTTCTGACCTAAGTTGAGCTGCAAGCTGTTGGAATTTTTACATGTACTTACATAAGCTAGCAGCAGGATAATACTATGGTCAGTTATTTTCACAAGGGTCTATTAGATTTCAGAGACTAGGTACAGTCTTGAAGCATGGGTCTGGGAACATCTAGCTCTCAAGTACTACGGAACTTAAAATGGAGGGGCTTCCCTACTTGAATTCTCAAACCATATCCTCAAACAGTCAGAAGAGAAGAGCTGTCTAAGGACAACTATTGCTTTAGCTAGGACAGCATTGTGAGCCCTGTCAAAATATTGTTTCTTCTAGTAGTCACACAGTGAGACGATTGCTCTCAAAGCCTATGTTACTCTATCACTACAGAGGTCAGTATTAGACAGTTAACCTTCCTTTGGCAAAGAATAAACGAAGATTACACAATCCCCACTATATGCTCAGAAATGATTTAATAGCCACAGTCACTAACTGCAGATTAGTTACAACTTTACTAGGAATATGCTTGTATCTCAAAGTGATTGAAGAAACTTGTAGAACTGGACAGCAGTGTTGTGCAGCAGTCATTGAACAGATTCTTAACAGCAAGTTCTGATCCAACATGGAGATGGGAATTCCTCAGGCCCTCTCATAGACTCTTGTGCTGGTGACATTATTTATAGTGCATTCCTAGAAGGCAAGATGATTAATTAGGTTTCTATTACAGCAGAGTTCTAGGAGTCTAAGTGAACAAGGATATCTGTCATATCAGAGTCTAAGATGTTTATTTAGTATGTCACTCTGATATTTAATATGAGCACAAGAGTCAAGCATTTCTTGCCTCCTGGAACAGGTTAGAGTGATCCTGATATCAGCTTAAATTATCAGCCAGCACTAGTACACTTGAACAGCACGCTTCATGTCTGCCTCTAACTTTCTATCCAGCACTCAGATTGGTGTTTAGTACAAGAATACAAACTCTTGGGTTTTGGTCTCTTTAGGGTCTCTCCACTAGTTTTGTTACAAGCGGAACTTGCCTACTTTGTAGGTTATGGGTTGGGTTTAACCTGGTTTAAAATGGTGGGTGTACAGTCCCCCTTCATCTGTGAGAAGTGTAAGAAATAATTACGTGCCTTTTTGGAACCAGACACTGAAACACTAGGAGCCTCCACCCAAACACAGGTATATCACCACCTAAGAACAGATGGAGAATTTGCATAATCTAGGCTTTTGTTTGGTGGAGGTTTGCATCTCTGTGCATGGAAAGACACTGAAGTGGCAGAGAAGCAGAGAACAAGGATAGAGCCAGAACCTTAGAACCTAGCCTTGAGAACCTCAAGAGACTGCATACTTTTGGACTAAGTACTGGCAGGAGAGGGGCTTGGAACGGAGCAAAGATACTGTGTGTTCAGGGAAACAGGACTTTGTGCACGGTAAATACCAGATGTCAAATCGACTCTTCCTCCTAAGCAAAGAGAGCCCACTAGACCACGTTTTGCCTAGCTGCTCAGGCAAGAGGGGTAACCATATTTTTGTACCTCACTTGGTTCTTACATGCACCAGCAGCTTTCTTAATGAGCATTTCTGTTTCAGCTAGAGCATTTAGTGCTCACACGAGGGTTTAAAAAAAAATTTGAACTCACCACCACAAGCTTAGCATCCACCAGTTTTCTCTTTATTGTCGTCTCTTTGCCATCCCACTTCTGCACATGAATCAAAGAGCCATTGTCCAAGGTGATAATGCTCTGCCAAGACAAAAGAAGCAGAGGGACTCTGGGTCAGATAGTCGCAGCACACGGAAGATTTGCCTCTTCAAATCATTTAACAAATCCCATGTTCACAGGAGAGATTCAAGCTGACTTTCAGGAAGCTTCCTGGGAAGATCCAGGTTTCAGAAGCTTCTTTACCACTGCTTGCACAGCTTCTTAGAAGGCACAGATCCCACTGTACCGTGGCTGTGAGCCTTAACTAGCATAGGAGACATGTGCCACCACAATACATCCATTTTGTCAGCCCTCCTCCCCCCCCCCCCGCTGGAAGAAAAGTCAGGACACAGGTGGGGATTGGAGTTGGGCTAGTCCCCACTACCTTGTGGTTATCACTTGTGATTTGATGTAGTGCCCTATCAGATAATGCATTACATGGATGCATAGGGGCACCATCTGCTTTGGCCTGCCACAGAAGCTTCTCCAGTAGGTGCAGCTGCATGTTGAGATTTAAGAAAGCATGGCAAAGAAGGGGAGTAGAAATTCTAGCCTTATCTATAGGGGTTTTTCCTCCCTTTTCCATCCAGACTGATGTGAGGGTGAGTAGACATAGTAAGAGATGCCACTGCCAAGGCTACTACATAGCCCTCCCCTCACCCCAGAGGCACTTGTCTTCCCCATGTAATTCTGTCTGCCTCAGGCACCTTGTATTCAGTAAAAATGTCCCATTGAAATTTTGCGGCTAGTCACTTTGAGAGACAGTCCTATTCTACACCATGCAGCAGATAAGGAGCATTTACTGGTCAGCCTTTAGAGGGAAGATCTGGGCTTGTGCCCATTTTCTGCTTTACATAGAATGAAGGAGGGCTGGATGTAGTCAGTTTTTTTGTTGTGTTTTTAGTTGAGCGTTAGCAGTTGAGGTATTTCCTACCCAAAAAGGCTATAGCAACTTAAGTAGTCAAATTACTACTTTAAACAAACACTGAAAGCCAAGCCATTTATAGAAGGCATTTTTTAGAGTAAGCATTTTATTTACCATCCGTTAGTTCCAGTGACTAGTGAACACTTCAAAGAAAGGAAGTTGTTACACCTTATTGATCCAAGGGAGGCCTTCAGTTTGTGGGAGTACAATGGGCATGAGGATTGCCCCAGAGCCAGGCAGAAGTGCCAGGCATGACATCCCCAGTTCTTATGAGGCCAGGGCAGAGGGGAACCATGTCTAAAGAAAATAATCATGAAGCAAGGAAGGGCATGTCAAGGTTCCTCCCCCACTCTGAACTCTAGGGTACAGATGTGGGGACCTGCATGAAAAAAACCCCTAAGCTTATCTTTACCAGCTTAGGTCAAAACTTCCCCAAGGTACAAAATATTCCCCCCCGTTGTCCTTGGACTGGCCGCTACCACCACCAAACTAATACTGGTTACTGGGGAAGAGCTGTTTGGACGCGTCTTTCCCCCCAAAATACTTCCCAAAACCCTGCACCCCACTTCCTGGACAAGGTTTGGTAAAAAGCCTCACCAATTTGCCTAGGTGACTACAGACCCAGACCCTTGGATCTGAGAACAATGAAAAAGCATTCAGTTTTTTACAAGAAGACTTTTAATAAAAAATAGAAGTAAATAGAAATAAAGAAATCCCCCCTGTAAAATCAGGATGGTAGATATCTTACAGGGTAATTAGATTCAAAAACATAGAGAACCCCTCTAGGCAAAACCTTAAGTTACAAAAAAGATACACAGACAGAAATAGTTATTCTATTCAGCACAATGCTTTTCTCAGCCATTTAAAGAAATCATAATCTAACACATACCTAGCTAGATTACTTACTAAAAGTTCTAAGACTCCATTCCTGGTCTATCCCCGGCCAAGAGCAGCATACAGACAGACACAGACCCTTTGTTTCTCTCCCTCCTCCCAGCTTTTGAAAGTATCTTGTCTCCTCATTGGTCATTTTGGTCAGGTGCCAGCGAGGTTACCTTTAGCTTCTTAACCCTTTACAGGTGAGAGGAGCTTTCCCCTGGCCAGGAGGGATTTCAAAGGGGTTTACCCTTCCCTTTATATTTATGACAGGGCACAAACCCAGGAGTCCTTTGCAAGTCACCTTTAAAGATTAACCCTCACCTTGGTTTTCCTGTCATCTGCTGTGGTTTCTTCAAACTCTTCCCCCAGCTTGAAGGAGATCTCAGTGTTTTTAAAGGAGCTCTCTGTTTTGATGGTTGTTATGTCATCATTAGTACTGATAATCACACTCAGCTTGGCCAGGCTGCCAAGCTTCCTAGTAGCAATACCCACTCCTTGAAAAGAAAAACAAATTAGCAGCTTGGATTTTACATACACACCCATGAGAGAAATCGGTAAATAGGTCTGTGAATGTACTAGAAGGCATCTCACGCTCAACCATGTAGGCTCTGCAGTTCTAAGAGGAGTACAAAAGAGATCAGCAGATACCATATAGACCTCTTCCCTCTGTATGTTGTAAGAAGGTAGCATTTTAATAGTCAACTTAGCAGTTGAAACAGTAAATTGTGTTGTACTAGTATGCTCTAAGAGACAGCTAGATACAAGCCATAGATGTGGCGTTTGTATCCTAATCCAAGCTTTCCTAAATAATAGTGGTGTTTGTTTGGGCCACATACTTAGTATCAGCCATTCAAGGAATTACGTTAGAGCCCTCATAACATTTCCTGCTTATGAGTAAGAATTAGTTTGTAGATGTACAAACTATCAATAGTTAAGAATGCAATATCAGTAAACAGCACCATGCAGATACAAAACTTCTAGCCTTCCCTTTACTAGGAAGGAAGAGCTATGACTATTCATTAGGAAAGAAATATTTGTAATGAAAGTGTTCTGTCACCCCAAATAATATCAAACAATCAAGACTACAGAGACATTCTATTCTGTTACCAAAGTGAATCATCTATAAATAAAGAAAACCAAACAAACCCCAAATACTATCTCAGTATTTTCTATTTTAAACCGGGGGAGGGGGGAAGAGAGGGAGAAAGATGAGCCTTGTTTAACTTATAATATATTCCTCACCCAATTCTTTCATATAGCTCTCAAAATTTTCACTAGAAATGAGTTTCCAGCTTCCTAAAAAGGACTCCCACATGATAGAAAAATGTAACTGGAAGGATGACTAAGCAAAGAGGAAACTAAAACCTTCTAAAACCAGAAATGTCTATGAAATATAGGTGCTCAATCACTTCATTTTAAAGATGCCCTAAATATGTGATACTCAGGGACAACCAATCAGAAGAGGCAATGTGAGGACTCCAATCACTTTCACTTTTATTTCATTTAGCACAGAAGGGCAATTAATAAAGGTCACTCATCCCAAATTAATCTGCTATTCAAAACTGAATGTTTTCAATGGAGAGACACAGTAAATATGAAGAATCAGCTTTCCCCAATTAGAGAGGGATCAGTTGAAACAGACCTGTCAGTTTGTGTAGATTCAAAGAATCCCTTCCTGATGTGCCTGTGAGGCCCTACACAGGGCTTGATTACTGCCTGTGGTGATGTTTCCTGGCTCCTACCAAGTACTGATCTTGCCCCTAGACTGAGCAAGTTCTGATTGCTCTCAAACCTGGCTCCTGCAACATCTATCTCCTCCCCTCACAAATACAGTGCTCAAATTGGGGGGCAGGGAGTGGTGATGTACTTCAACTTTTGGTCAACTTCCCCCTCCTGCCCCTGCCAGCTTCAGTGCCGAGGGCTGCACTGCCATGACCACAAAAGTCCCTCAATACCTGCATCAGTTAAGAACCCTCCCAATTCATTCCACCTGCAATCCCTAACCCCCACTAATCATTATGTGCCCCAGAGCTCCTGACAGTCCTGATTCCCTGATTTGTGTTCTAGGTCTGTTGGCTCAGCTGTTGCTGGGAGGGAAGGGAGGCAGAACCTGCGTTGTTGGTTTCTTTAAAATACAATATTATATGCTAGGTATCATGGAGACTTTAGGAATATAATCCACTGGTTTTTAGATTCCACTTACTTTATGGGGGCTTAAATAGTTGACCCCGTCCCTTTCAGATAGATGCAACTCTTGTTTTGGAAGGCTATTTTTTTTCAAATTATCCCCGGTAGTGTAGGTGAAAGCCACGATCATTATCCTGCAAATATGTACTTAACTTTAGAAACACTGAAGCCAAAGGGAATACTTAATACTGCATAAGTATTTGCAGAACCAGGGCCCGAGTTTGTGGATTCTTTCTGCCCTTGTGGTTTTTACCGTAAGCACCTTGAGTTTAACTTTGTTACAAGAAAAAATACAAATGAAATATTGGTAATTAGAGGGCCTGACATAATTTTCTCCCATTGGTCATCACCCTAGTATCACATGTTCAGAAAATCTTTAAAAATAAGCTGTTGGGGAGGGGGGTGTTATGATGTATTGCTTGTTGGTTTCCTGCTGAAAGTTTGGGGTCCCCCCCCCCCGGATCATTGTCTAGTAAATCCATACAGAATGTGTGATCAGTTCTTAGGAACCTGGAAACTTGTCTCCAGTGAAAAATCTGAAGATTATATGAAAGAATTAGGTGAGATATACTGTTTTCTTAATTAATAATCTTGTGATTCTTTCTCTCTTTTTATATAAACTGTAGTGGGTCTGGAATTTACTCTTGTGACTTAAAAAAACCTCAAACTTATACTGATTTTCAGGGGATGCCAGTTAATTCTACTCAATAGCATTCCAGCTGTATTTCCTGGAGCATGTAGTTTGTGAAGGGCTCAGATACTACCTGAGATTATATAACATAGTTATTTAATTAGCTCTCATCAATATCACTGTTCAAGCTGAAAATTACACTACACTACTTATAGTCTTAAATTGCCATACTGGAGTGGGGAGGGAGGTAAAAAGGCATTGTAGAGTTCCCTCATTGTGTTTCAATAACTCCATATCTAATGTTCTTAGCTTACAAGTAAAAAGAGAATTCCTTGGTACCAAACACAAGTTAGGTTATGAGAGTTAAGTTGGATTTTTGTTTCTATTTTGTACATCCTCAGCAGTGATGAGGGTCAGACTATGCTTTCTGTGGCTGCTGTGCAACTCGGCTGCATTCAGTGGGCTTGCAGAGGGGTCAATGACTGGAACTTACTAACCCATTGTGTGTAAACAGGATTGTATGAAGTCTAGCTCCCTGACTCATGTTTGTTCTGCTTTTGTTGGGTAAATAGGAGTCAAAAGAGGTAACAACTTCTTTTTGTCACTAATGTAAGTAGCAATGACTAAATCCACAGGCCACATCTATTGAGTAAAAAGGTGCTTTCATGTGGGGGCTCTTTAGACTACGAAGACTCCTTGAAGGATATGAAATACTAGGTAACTGACACACTCTAGAGTCAATTCTGTGCTCCATAGGTGAATCCGTATTCAAATCAATTACACAGGTGTCACTGAGGCAACCTATCCAGTGGCTTATATGGGGAGTCCTAAATGAAGCCTAACCTCTAAATAGGTGAGATGGAAAGGGGCAAGATTCCAAACTGGCTTCCATAATAATCCTGCTATTAAGATAGACTTGTAGACCCAAAATAAAAAAGCATGTATGCATAAAGGCATACAGCTAAAGGTAAAATGGCAGCTGCTATGGTGTAGTAACACAATAATAACGAATACTGAGCTCTTGTATAGTAACTTTCATTGGTAGATCTTAAAGTGCTTTACAAGGGACATCAGTATCATTATCCCCATTTTATAGATGAGGAACTGAGGCACACAGAGGTTAAGTGACTTGCCCAAGGTCACCCAGCAGCCCAGTGGAAGAGCTGGGAAAAGAACCCAGGTCTCCTGAGTTCTGATCTAGTGCTAAACCCACTAGACAACACAGCCTCCCATAAATGGGCCTCCCTGATTTTCTCCTCTACCTGCTCCTTCAGTGTTTGGTTTGACATGGGAGATAGGGAAACCTCTAACTCCCCAAAATGTGTGGATTCATCACATCTTTATAGATACCTGGAAATATTTTATCAAAAGGAAAATTTCACTCTCTGAAGTAAGAGATGAACAGATAAGGATTCTTTAAGTCTGCTGACTATCTGAGGAGTGGGGGGAAATGCACACCTATATTTATGATGCCTTTTTTGCAGGGGGGACAAGCTGTTTATCTGTTCATGTCCTTCTAATTGTCCCAGTCTCTGTTTCCAGGCCACCCTTTGTGCTCTCTCCTTCATTGCCAGACAGAACTCCTGTCTTTCCTTTGTTTTCAGAACAGAGTGAAATCTTAGATGGTATCTTGTGTGTCTTCTTCAGGAGTGGGCTTTGCCATGAGGAAACTGTGCAGCCTGGCAAAGCCTACCGTGATCATCAGTGCTGATGACGATATGCTAACAATCAAAACAGAGAGCCCTGTTAAAAATACAGAGATCTCCTTCAAGCTGGGCCAAGAGTTTGAGGAAACCACAACAGATAACAGGAAAACTAAAGTGAGGGGAGTGCTTGGTGTTACTGATCAGCTTGTGTTGTGTGGATTTTTTTTTCTCTTTTGGGCGGAGGGAGGGATAGGATAATCTACTTGAAAGCACTACAGTCTGAAAACCATCAGATACAGCTGTACCATGGATCTGGAATTTTGATTAGGACAGAGCTGAGAACATGGTACGGTACACAGGGGGCAAATAGCCCTTTTAATTTGCAAGATACTGGGCAAAATAGCTCACCTTGCTGCTATGTCTTTCCAGAGTGTTGTAACCTTGGACAATGGTTCAATGATTCATGTGCAGAAATGGGATGACAAAGAGATCACAATAAAGAGAGAGGTGGTGGATGGGAATATGGTTGTGGTAAGTGAGACCGTTCCTGCAATCTGATCAATGAACGCTGCTCTTAACACATCGTTGAATCCTCATCATAATCTCTTTATTTTGGATAATGTGGACCAGTGTTTTTTATTAACAAGTGAAAAGCCCTCATACTGTATCTTTGAACAGCATTGGAAATTGTTTTAGCCACTTTTAAGTACTGCTTAAAGACCATTGCTGTACAATGACTTCTTCTAAACTGAAATTTTGAGACCAGTGGATTACTAATGTAATTCAGTGCTAAGTGTGGTGACTTAGGATATGTCTACACTACGGAATAAGGTCGAATTTATAGAAGTCGGTTTTTTAGAAATCGGTTTTATATATTCGAGTGTGTGTGTCCCCACAGAAAATGCTCTAAGTGCATTAAGTGCATTAACTCGGCGGAGTGCTTCCACAGTACCGAGGCTAGAGTCGACTTCCGGAGCGTTGCACTGTGGGTAGCTATCCCACAGTTCCCGCAGTCTCCGCTGCCCATTGGAATTCTGGGTTGAGATCCCAATGCCTGATGGGGCTAAAACATTGTCGCGGGTGGTTCTGGGTACATATCGTCAGGCCCCCGTTCCCTCCCTCCCTCCGTGAAAGCAAGGGCAGACAATCATTTCGCGCCTTTTTTCCTGAGTTACCTGTGCAGACGCCATACCACGGCAAGCATGGAGCCCGCTCAGGTAACCGTCACCCTATGTCTCCTGGGTGCTGGCAGACGCAGTACGGCTTTGCTGCACAGTAGCAGCAACCCATTGCCTTCTGGCAGCAGACGGTGCAATACGACTGGTAGTCGTCCTCGTCATGTCCGAGGTGCTCCTGGCCACGTCGGCTGGGAGCGCCTGGGCAGACATGGGCGCAGGGACTAAATTTGGAGTGACTTGACCAGGTCATTCTCTTTAGTCCTGCAGTCAGTCCTATTGAACCGTCTTATGGTGAGCGGGCAGACGATACGGACTGCTAGTAGTCGTATTGTACCATCTTCTGCCAGGCAGGCAAGAGATGAGGATTGCTAGTAGTCGTATTGTACCATCTTCTGCCGAGCAGCCATGAGATGTGGATGGCATGCAGTCCTTCTGCACCGTCTGCTGCCAGCCAAAGATGTAAAAGATAGATGGAGTGGGTCAAAACAAGAAATAGACCAGATTTGTTTTGTACTCATTTGCCTCCTCCCCTGTCTAGGGGACTCATTCCTCTAGATCACACTGCAGTCACTCACAGAGAAGGTGCAGCGAGGTAAATCTAGCCATGTATCAATCAGAGGCCAGGCTAACCTCCTTGTTCCAATAAGAACGATAACTTAGGTGCACCATTTCTTATTGGAACCCTCCGTGAAGTCCTGCCTGAAATACTCCTTGATGTACAGGCACACCCTTTGTTGATTTTAGCTCCCTGAAGCCAACCCTGTAAGCCATGTCGTCAGTCGCCCCTCCCTCCGTCAGAGCAACGGCAGACAATCGTTCCGCGCCTTTTTTCTGTGAGGACGCCATACCAAGGCAAGCATGGAGGCCGCTCAGCTCACTTTGGCAATTAGGAGCACATTAAACACCACAGACATTATCCAGCAGTATATGCAGCACCAGAACCTGGCAAAGCGATACCGGGCGAGGAGGCGACATCAGCGCGGTCACGTGAGTGATCAGGACATGGACACAGATTTCTCTGAAAGCATGGGCCCTGCCAATGCATGCATCATGGTGCTAATGGGGCAGGTTCATGCGGTGGAACGCCGATTCTGGGCTCGGGAAACAAGCACAGACTGGTGGGACCGCATAGTGTTGCAGGTCTGGGACGATTCCCAGTGGCTGCGAAACTTTCGCATGCGTAAGGGCACTTTCATGGAACTTTGTGACTTGCTTTCCCCTGCCCTGAGGCGCATGAATACCAAGATGAGAGCAGCCCTCACAGTTGAGAAGCGAGTGGCGATAGCCCTGTGGAAGCTCGCAACGCCAGACAGCTACCGGTCAGTTGGGAATCAATTTGGAGTGGGCAAATCTACTGTGGGGGCTGCTGTGATGCAAGTAGCCCACGCAATCAAAGATCTGCTGATATCAAGGGTAGTGACCCTGGGAAATGTGCAGGTCATAGTGGATGGCTTTGCTGCAATGGGATTCCCTAACTGTGGTGGGGCTATAGACGGAACCCATATCCCTATCTTGGCACCGGAGCACCAAGCCGGTGAGTACATAAACCGCAAGGGGTACTTTTCAATAGTGCTGCAAGCTCTGGTGGATCACAAGGGACGTTTCACCAACATCAACGTGGGATGGCCGGGAAAGGTGCATGATGCTCGCATCTTCAGGAACTCTGGTCTGTTTCAAAAGCTGCAGGAAGGGACTTTATTCCCAGACCAGAAAATAACTGTTGGGGATGTTGAAATGCCTATATGTATCCTTGGGGACCCAGCCTACCCCTTAATGCCATGGCTCATGAAGCCGTACACAGGCAGCCTGGACAGTAGTCAGGAGCTGTTCAACTACAGGCTGAGCAAGTGCAGAATGGTGGTAGAATGTGCATTTGGACGTTTAAAGGCGCGCTGGCGCAGTTTACTGACTCGCTTAGACCTCAGCGAAACCAATATTCCCACTTTTATTACTGCTTGCTGTGTGCTCCACAATATCTGTGAGAGTAAGGGGGAGACGTTTATGGCGGGGTGGGAGGTTGAGGCAAATCGCCTGGCTGCTGGTTACGCGCAGCCAGACACCAGGGCGGTTAGAAGAGCACAGGAGGGCGCGGTACGCATCAGAGAAGCTTTGAAAACCGGTTTCATGACTGGCCAGGCTACGGTGTGAAAGTTGTTTGTTTCTCCTTGATGAAACCCCCCGCCCCTTGGTTCACTCTACTTCCCTGTAAGCTAACCACCCGCCCCTCCTCCCTTCAATCACCGCTTGCAGAGGCAATAAAGTCATTGTTGCTTCACATTCATGCATTCTTTATTCATTCATCACACAAATAGGGGGATGACTACCAAGGTAGCCCAGGAGGGGTGGTGGAGGAGGGAAGGAAAATGCCACACAGCACTTTAAAAGTTTACAACTTTAAAATTTATTGAATGACAGCCTTCTTTTTTTGGGGCAATCCTCTGTGGTGGAGTGGCTGGTTGGCCGGAGGCCCCCCCACCACGTTCTTGGGCGTCTGGGTGTGGAGGCTATGGAACTTGGGGAGGAGGGTGGTTGGTTACAGAGGGGCAGCAGTGGCAGTCTGTGTTCCAGCTGCCTTTGCTGCAGCTCAACCATACACTGGAGCATACTGGTTTGGTCCTGCAGCAGCCTCAGCATTGAATCCTGCCTCCTCATCACGCTGCCGCCACATTTGAGCTTCAGCCCTCTCTTCAGCCCGCCACCTCTCCTCCCGGTCATTTTGTGCTTTCCTGCACTCTGACATTATTTGCCTCCACGCATTCGTCTGTGCTCTGTCAGTGTGGGAGGACAGCATGAGCTCGGAGAACATTTCATCGCGAGTGCGTTTTTTTTTCTTTCTAAGCTTCACTAGCCTCTGGGAAGGAGAAGATCCTGTGATCATTGAAACACATGCAGCTGGTGGAGAAAAAAAATGGGACAGCGGTATTTAAAAAGACACATTTTATAAAACAGTGGCTACACTCTTTCAGGGTAAACCTTGCTGTTAACATTACATACATAGCACATGTGCTTTCGTTACAAGGTCGCATTTTGCCTCCTACCACCGCGTGACTACCCCCTCAACCTTCCCCCCTCCCTGTGGCTAACAGCGGGGAACATTTCTGTTTAGCCACAGGCAAACAGCCCAGCAGGAACGGGCTCCTCTGAGTGTCCCCTGAAGAAAAGCACCCTATTTCAACCAGGTGACCATGAATGATATCTCACTCTCCTGGGGATAACACAGAGAGATAAAGAATGGATGTTGTTTGAATGCCAGCAAACATACACTGCAATGCTTTGTTCTACAATGATTCCCGAGTACGTGTTACTGGCCTGGAGTGGTAAAGTGTCCTACCATGGAGGACGCAATAAGGCTGCCCTCCCCAGAAACCTTTTGCAAAGGCTTTAGGACTACATCTAGGAGAACCGCAAATGCCAGGGCAAAGTTATCCTTTCACATGCTTGCTTTTAAACCATGTATAGTATTTTAAAAGGTACACTCACCAGAGGTCCCTTCTCCGCCTGCTGGGTCCAGGAGGCAGCCTTGGGTGGGTTCGGGGGGTACTGGCTCCAGGTCTAGGGTGAGAAACAGTTCCTGGCTGTCGGGAAAACCGGTTTCTCCGCTTGCTTGCTGTGAGCTAGCTACAACCTCCTCCTCCTCATCATCTTCTTCGTCCCCAAAACCTGCTTCCGTATTGCCTCCATCTCCATTGAAGGAGTCAAACAACACGGCTGGGGTAGTGGTGGCTGAACCCCCTAAAATGGCATGCAGCTCATCATAGAAGCGGCATGTTTGGGGCTCTGACCCAGAGCGGCTGTTCGCCTCTCTGGTTTTCTGGTAGGCTTGCCTCAGCTCCTTCAGTTTCACGTGGCACTGCTTCGGGTCCCTGTTATGGCCTCTATGCCCTGGGAGATTTTGACAAAGGTTTTGGCATTTCGAAAACTGGAACGGAGTTCTGATAGCACGGATTCCTCTCCCCAAACAGCGATCAGATCCCGTACCTCCCGTTCGGTCCATGCTGGAGCTCTTTTGCGATTCTGGGACTCCATCATGGTCACCTGTGCTGATGAGCTCTGCATGGTCACCTGCAGCTTGCCACACTGGCCAAACAGGAAATGAGATTCAAAAGTTTGCGGTTCTTTTCCTGTCTACCTGGCCAGTGCATCTGAGTTGAGAGTGCTGTCCAGAGCGGTCATAATGGAGCACTCTGGGATAGCTCCCGGAGGCCAATACCATCGAATTGTGTCCACAGTACCCCAAATTCGAGCCGGCAACGTCGATTTAAGCGCTAATCCACTTGTCAGGGGTGGAGTAAGGAAATCGATTTTAAGAGCCCTTTAAGTCGAAATAAAGGGCTTCATTGTGTGGACGGGTGCAGGTTTACATCGATTTAACGCTGCTAAATTCGACCTAAAGTCCTAGTGTAGACCAGGGCTTAGCAGTAAAGTAGACTGCAGTCTCTCTACCTTCAGGTGCATGCTTGACTTACAGAACAGCTTTGTTGAGACATTTCTCTTGTATTGCTATTGTAATTTCATTGAACTCCTCTTTGTTCTTCTAGGAATGTACCATGAAGTATGCCATCTGCACTAGAGTCTATGAGAAAGCATGAGGAAACTATCTGCAATTAACTGCAACCTGCTGCGGGGAACTGGCTCAGTTCCCCAAGATAAAGGCTACTGTCTTCTTCCTTCTGTTTGTTTGTAAAAGTTTTGAATAGTCATGTACCTGCAATGTACCATACTTCAGCTTAGTTGCTACTTGTTTGAACTGTGGCTAGTGAATAAAATATTTCCAGGCTAATGACCTAGAGTATTTGTGTTGTGGTGATGCCTGATACCTTGGAAAGGTATGCTTATATTGCAATCAGGCCGCAACCTGGGCCCCTTCCATCTCCGTGCCCTAGAGCCCAGGGCAGCCTGAGCCCAAACATCAACACTGCAATTAAACACTCTCTTCACCCCAACCCACATCAGCTGGCAAAGGCCACCCACAGATGTCTAACTGGGGAGAAGATATACCTGAAGTGGCCTACTTGACCTGGATTAGGGCAGGAGTGCCCCAAAAAGCCAAACCATAGGCACAAGATAAGCTTCTCCCCATTCTGGGGGGTTAACAAAAAGAAATGGGGGTGGGTGGGTCATCTATTTGAGGGACAGACCCCAAAATGCTTGGATGAGAGGGTCAAAAGAATATGGGATAGGGAACACCAAATGGAAAACCCAACTGCTCCAAGAAGAATGCTAGGAAGTTAGAGGTCTAGAATGCCCCACTGGAACTCTGTCCAGGTGGGAGAAGGAATAAAGTCAGAGCTTCCCGGGGATGTCTTAGAAATGTACCAACTTCCTAAACTATTTTAAAAAATCACTTATCTCCTCTTTTCTAGATCTTTATATTACTGATGTCTCCCTCTCCTGAGATGGACACTCAGAGATGAACACAATGCTCAAGATGAGGGTGCTAACAATTTTATATAGTGGCATAAGAAGTTTCTTCCTTTAGTCCCATCTCAATACATTCTGGTTTTGAATTGCTGCATACTTTCAATGACACTTGTCTTGGAGTAATTGTTGTTGACTGAAAATTCTGTAGTGTGTGTAAGTAGCTCAAATTGATCCTTGCCGTATGAATTACCTTTCACTTACCAACAATGATTTTCACCTGCATTTGTGCTGCTCATCTCAACAAAGCTGTTCTGTAAGTCTGCAATTCCCCAAGAGCAAGGCAAACAATCTTCCTTAGTCTCACCTAATCAGTTTTCAAATTACTGGCAAATTCTCACATCTCTAAAACCCCCTGTTCAGGATCATTAACAAACATAAGACTGGTCTTCTTACAAGTGCAGCACTCCAGGAATGTGCACTACTTTACAATGTTCAAAACTGCATAACCTTCCTCCTTTACCAGTTGCCAATTATTGGCCTTTCCCCTGAGACTAATTATATTCCACCATAGTCTCTTGAGAGAGACTTACAAAAAAGCTTTTTTCAAAAGACAAGTCAACTGTTTTTCTTCTACTTTAACTGGCACTCAATTCTACGGGGAAGACAACTTAACATTTCAAAACATGTTCTGGCTTGTTTCTTTGACTTTCATCTCTGGCTTTTAGAGCTCTGCCTTTAATTATTGTTGGGAATAATTAACTTTGCCAGATGTTGAAGTAAGGTTTGTTGGCCTATAACTTCCTAGGTGGCTCCAATGCCTCTCAATTTAGGTACAATGTTAGTCTCCTGCTATAGGAATGGACTGTGTGTGTGGTTTTTTATTAAAGAGACAAGGTGGGTGAGGTAATTCTTACTGGACTAACTTCTGCTGGTGAAAGAGACACGCACTGGAAACTCAAAAGCGTAAGAGTTCCAGTGGTGCATTCTAGACCTCTAAGAGGGATGAAGCAATAGCAGAAGAGCTGGAGAAAATCTCATTCCACGCCCCTTTCTGACACAGAGAAAGTGCATGACATAGGAGTTTCACTTAACCATCAGTAGTAGCTTGAATATTAAACAGATAATTATAGTATTGCCTTTGGCACTGTCTGGCCCACCTTCACCCCTAACCTTTTCCAGGAAGTCCTGCTCTTCAATGATGGAGCAATCTATTTGCTTCCTGTTTCTATCACTCAGAAACCTAGATTTCCCCTTCCTCTTAATACAAGATGTTGACTTTAGTAGAGACTGATAAGATCCATTTCAGAGTAACAGCCGTGTTAGTCTGTATTCGCAAAAAGAAAAGGAGTACTTGTGGCACCGTAGAGACTAACCAATTTATTTGAGCTCAGATAAATTGGTTAGGCTCTAAGGTGCCATAAGTACTCCTTTTCTTTTTGATAAGATCCAGTGGTGCAAGTAGAATTCATTTCTTACTGGTACGCCGCACTAGTTAAAGCAGAGGCCTGGGAAAGGGCATGTGGCTCCTCACTTGACCCCAGCCCAGGGCTCTGCACTTTCCCCTTCCCTTCCCTTCCCTCCCCATGATCCATCCCACGTTATTTGCAGAGGGGGCACTCCCAGTGGGTGGACACAGCACAGCTGCTGTGTGGACTGCTAAGAGAAGAGAGCTTGCTCTCTGGAACAAGAGCCAGTTCACAGTCAAACCTGCTTAGGGAATTGCCAGCGGAAGAGCTTCAAACCAACTCCCTCTGACAGCAGAGAATATTTTTGTCAAACATGCTGGCAACCGAGCCCCATGCTGGTAGCTCCTCTGGCGTGGCTGTACAGCCCCCAGCCCTTCCACACAGCTGTGTCTCCTGAGTCCTGACCAAGGTCTGTAAAGCAGCCCCGCTGGAGGACAGGGCTGGGTGCGGGAGGCTAGGATGGTACAGCCCTGCCGGCATGGGGTTCTGCTCCTTTCGCCGCTGCAGTTCCTGGGAGAGCCCTGAACCACATGTCTCTCCCAGGAACCGTCGCGGCAAAAGGAGCCCTGGCAGCCCTACACCAGCAGCTCCTCTGCCATGGCTGTACCATCCCAGGCAGGGCTGCCGTACAGATCCCTGACAGGAGACACAGGCATGCAGCTGTGTGGAAGGACTCGGGGAGGTACAGCTGTGCTGGAGGAGCTGCTGGTGTGGGGCCGCCTGATAGCCCAACATTCTGCTCCTCCTGTGTCTTTCTGCTATGCCATACTGGCTCTAAACAGCTTACTGGTACAGCGGACTGGACCAGACCAGACCGCCCTACTTACACCACTGATAAAATCTAACATAGCTCCCCCTTTTACTTTGTCCTTGAAATCTACCATGGTGAATATAGCTAAAGCGTCCCTGCAGCTGGCTCATCATCAGTTGCCATAACCTCTGGGAGCTTTTTTGCAGCCAATACAAGCTACAGCAGCCTGTAGACTGCTCAAACCTGTGCTAGGGACCAGGCCAGTGCCTGATGGCCCGAGGATCAGCAAAATGTGAAGGTGAGTTAGTCACCTTTCCTTCCAGCCCTTTTCTGGATGTACACCAAGTACAGCTTTGCCACTTCAGACAAGCAGAGGAGCAAAGGACAGACTCAGCACCTTCTCTATGAAGGCAGATGCATTTCCAGTCCCCTGTCAAAATAATAATGTCTCACCCAGTTCTTTCATGTATTCCTCAAAGTTTTCACTGGAGATGAGTTTCCAAGTTCCCAGGAAGAGCTCAGGAGTTGTGGGAGTTTGCTGGGCATTGACAAGAAGAGCTGCTGCTACCGTGGAGAAAAAAGAAGGCGTGAGATATGTGAACCCTGACAACTTCTCTTTAAAAATGGCTTGAATACGTAATACTCAAGGCCAACTAGTGACAGACAGTGTAGGGATAAAACAATGCTAGGAATCAGATTCCAGTCACCAGCATTTTTATTTCCTGCATAGATCAAGGTTTTCTCACATCCCCCCCACCCCCATACACACACAAACTCACTCTCCTGCTGGTAATACCTCATCTAAACTGACCACTCTCCAAGTTTAAATCCAAGTTAAACCAGAACATCTGGGGGGGGGGGTAGGAAAAAACAAGAGGAAACAGGCTACCTTGCATAATGACTTAGCCACTCCCAGTCTCTATTTAAGCCTAAATTAATAGTATCCAATTTGCAAATGAATTCCAATCTCTTCAATCTCTCTGGTCACGCAATCACAGACATGAAGATCGCTATCTTAAAACAAAAAAACTTCAAATCCAGACTCCAGCGAGAAACTGCTGAATTGGAATTCATTTGCAAATGTGTTTGGGGGTGGGGGGATGTGAGAAAACCTGGATTTGTGCAGGAAATAGCCCGACTTGATTATGTAAAGAGTTGTCACTTTGGATGGGCTAGCACCAGCAGGAGAGTGAATTTGTGTGGGGGGGTGGAGGGTGAGAAAACCTGGATTTGTGCTGGAAATGGCCCACCTGTTGATCATTTTAGATAAGCTATTACCAGCAGGACAGTGGGGTGGGAGGAGGTATTGTTTCATATTCTCTGTGTGTATATAAAGTCTGCTGCAGTTTCCACGGTAAACATCTGATGAAGTGAGCTGTAGCTCACGAAAGCTCATGCTCAAATAAATTGGTTAGTCTCTAAGGTGCCACAAGTACTCCTAAATTTAACAAGCAGCCAAAAGTGGCGCCCTAGGCGACGACTCTGTGGGTACTCCGGGGCTGGAGCACCCACGGGGAAAATTTGGTGGGTGCAGAGCCTCCATCGGCAGCTCCCCGCGCCCGGCCCCAGCTCACCTCCACTCCACCTCCTCCCCTGAACGTGCTGCCCCACTCTGCTTCTCTGCCCCCCCCCCCCTTTCCAGGCTTCCCGCGAATCAGCTGTTCGCGCAGGAAGCTGGGGCAGGCTGAGAAGCAGGCGGTGGCTTTGTGCTCAGGCCCAGGGAGGCGGAGGCGAGCTGGGCGGGGGGGCGCGAGAAGGGCTGCCCGCGCCACAGCAGGTAACCCGTGGGGCGCGCAGGAGAACCGCTCCCCGCCCCAGCTCACCTCCGCCTCCCTGGGCCTGAGCGCGAAGCCACTGCCTGCTTCTCAGCCCTTCCAGGCTTCCCACATGAACAGCTGATTCGTGGGAAGCCGGGGGGGGCATTCAGGGGAGGAGGCGGAGCGGACATGAGCTGGGGTCAGGAGCGGGGAGCTGCCGGTGGGGTCTCTGCACCCACCAAATTTTCCCCGTGGGTGCTCCAGCCCTGGAGCACCCAGGGAGTCGGCGCCTAAGGCGCCACTTTTGATGTGATCTGTGGGGGGAGCAGCCGCTCCCCCTGCTCCCCCCCAGCTACGCTCCCCCCTAGGAGCCAGAGGGACCTGCCGGATGCTTCAT